TTATATTCTTTTTGTTGGATCCATGTGATTCTACAGTCAAACCATCCATACAGAACCCACATGTACGATTAGATAAGAGATTAGATATCAGATTGTGAGGTCACTTAGCTAGGCCTGCAGGTCCAGCTAGACTTCACAATCCAACCATCAGCAACATCATGACCTTGACCCCACACTCGAGTATTATGATTGATCGTTCAAGCCTATTCCCACACTTTTTTATTTATTATTTCAAGCTTAAAACTATAGCCTTTATACTATCCACTCTTTTTCCTTATTATTAAACCTTTAATCCTACTAGATTCCAATAACCCGTAATTATAAATAAAATAACTCGATCATTTTACATAAATAAGATATATATTATATAACTATGTTTAAATTTAAGCTTATAATTGCAATTTCTTTTCCGATTTTTTCCTAGGGTTTTTTAGCGTTTTCATCAAATGCAAAGCTAATTATTTAATCGATTAACGTAAAAAGTTTTTTAAACTTAAACAAATAACGACGTGAACGTATAAATAGATTATTACATATCGTAACATCTAACCTTATAAGCTTTCTACTCTTATAAAATATAACATATTATACGTATTACTAGTTAACGCAAGCTTAATATTAAAGCTATAATAAGGGTTTACTTTAATAGCTTTATAATAAGTTATAAACGTTCAAACGGATAGCTTTAAAACAACGTCGTTTTGTAAACGTAAAAGTTAAACTCGTTAAATTATTATAACATTATAATTTAATGTAGTTATTAAATAATCTTAATGTTTTAAACTTAACAAGACGAATTTATTTAAGTTAATTATATATATATATAAAGAGGTTTTAACTTTTGTTAACCTTTTAAATAATTTATAACAAAGACTTTATCATTATTAGAGTTCACCCCGGTATTACTATGCGATTTAAAAGAAACTTTCTTAACTATATAACTAGAAAGTCAGGATAAAGCTAAGGGCAATATTAGCAAGTTTTTTAATAGTTATTATTTTAAGCTTACAAGTTTAGTCTTTATTTATTAATCAATGAATCCCATTATATATCAAGTACCTATGGTTTCAAAATAAAACAAGCCGATATAATTTAAGTTTAATATCAAATACCTTCTATATGTTTTCTTTTTCTTTTTCTTTTCTTATTAACGCTTTTAAAAATCAAAGAATAATTTAATTATTATTTAATGTTATTGACGTTATTAAAATAATATCAAACCGTTTAAACTTAGTAAAGTGCCTTAACAACGTTTTATTACTATCTTATTTAATTTTTAAAGGACATTTTATATTAAAGATTCTTATCTATCTTTTTGATAAGACATTTTGATTCTAGTACGCCGAAGAATTCTGTGCCTTTTAAGAAATTGAATATTACGGTTACTAACTACTTTATAACAAATCTTAATATAACACTAGTAATTTTTACCTTATCGATTATTATACGTTTAGCTTTATTACTTAGCTCAAAGCTGACTTTTTAACGTTACATAAAACGCGGTTGTATACACTTTTTAATTATTACTACCATTGAAAATACTTTCTTATTATAAGCTAAAGTCGAACCTTTTCTACGTGATATACCTATATAATATTCGCTGTTTAAGTTTATTAATAACGACGTTTTTACCTTTTAATAATATCGTATTATGCTTTTATTACTAGTCTATAAGTTTTATGCGTTTATAATGAAACCTGTTTTTATGCTTTTAATTGCCTATTTATATTAAAAACTGTAATTCGCATTATGAAAATACCTTGTAAGAACATTATACGTGTCATTTCTTTTTCAATCTAAAAACCTATATGTTTTAATATATAATAATTGTTTTTTTAAAAGTTGTTTTAAAGTTTATAATAAAACACTACCATAATGAATATTACAACTTAAAATACAATCAAATAAGTCTTTTAAATATAATACAGTAAAAAAGTTTAAAAGGGCTAATTAAAATTAAAGTAAAATTACATATCTTTATATAAATCTTTAAAGTTATTTTTAAGACTCTTTAAATCTTATAGTTATTTACTTTTAATATTTATTCAATAAGTTAAAGGTCTTTTTATTTACACTTTATCAATACCTCTTGTTTATACCTTACCTTAGTTAGCTACTCAGTAGCCGCTTAATAACGAGGTAAATATTATTAATAAGTCTAGCCTTCAAAAACACAGTAAACTGTATTAATATAACATCGATATATTAAATCTAATCGTAATAGCCGTTTACTTTAAAAAGCGGCTTAATTAAACGTAACCAATAGGTATTTATCCCCAGCTATAAAATATACGATAATTTAAAATTATATAATTATTATACGAAATCCGATAGTAACGGCTATTTCATTCGGCTATTTAAAAGCTATTTCTTTAGCTGTACGCATGCAATTAAACGGATATAATAATCTAAAACTAATTTATATCTTTATATAAAACCCGATCGTAATAGCTATTTAGCATAGCAAATAAGCTATAGCTAGTTAGTAAATAAGCGACCTTATCCAAGGGTAAATAAGAAATCTCGGTAAGGTGTAGATACAAAGACTTTAAGTAAAAATTAATAAAAATTAAACCGTGTCGCTTTATATTTATAAATAAATAAATAAATAAGTAATAAATAAATACTAGGTATAAAAATAGTATTTATTATTATAAAAAGTACATTATTTTTAAGTTAATGTTATTAAGAAATTATATTTAAGTTAGCTAGTACGCTGTTATCGCGTTACTTGCCGTTGTACGAGTAAGGTTATTTACGCTTGTAAACGTCGCTAGTTTATAAGGCTATAGTAGATATAGGGGCATATCCAGCGCGGTTATAATGTCCAGTCTCTCTATCATCCTTACAAAGCACAATGCCACTCGTCTAAACCTTCCACCACACATCTGTCTCCTTCATCGCTGGTACTTTTCTCGACATCTGTTCTTTTAAGTTCCCCCCCGTTAGTGACCTCCCATCCTGTCGCTTATCCCTCTGTTAGGACGCTCATCACTATCGAACAAAATAGCTTCGGGATAGTTCCGAACTCAACCGCAACGGGAGTAAATTCCAGGGGGCCCAGCTAAGAGCTCAGCCGAGACGCAACTCAACCCAAGAACCCAAACCTGTAGTGAGGAATGCGCGCCAGAAGTTGGGCCGCCAGAAAAGTCGTTGACATGCCGGGTTCTCTATCAGAACAGGGTGATTGTCAAACACAAGTTCATGAAGTCAAGGAAAAGGCCTGGGAGTTGACCAGAGGATGCTATACACTCCCGAGATCTCTATTTCTCGTTTGAGTTGACAGATATAGGCTTTAGTCACTCTCCGAACTCGTCTTGTCTTGGTTCTGCGAGATAACTTATGCTAGGTACCATCTGTCCAGGCTTTACACGGCTCCACTTCTGTGGCTGTTGGTTCTGGTGGGTGTATACGTAACAAGGCAATGGCAGACTCCGTAACATCAATATCCTGGTTGGCTAATTGCGTTAAATCAGTTCTATACCGGTAGTTCCTCGGGTTGCTGCCGTTAAGCGCCGCCGCGCCACACCACGCCACACCCACCAACCTCATTTAACGAGCCATTATAGGCATCGCCAAATGTTTAACCTGCCATTGCTTCCTTTCCAAAACATCATCACCCCAGATATGCCGTCGCTCAATTGCTTCTGCTCGGCGCGAAGCTCTGCTCGATGCCGTTCTCTTCTGCCATGAAGAGTAAGAGTCGCTTAACAGCGGCGCGATAATCTTCACTAATGCACACAACTACCTAAGTAGGTTTCAGTTGGGTGCAAGGCGACGAACAGCTCTTTACAGGCCGATGACGTCATGCTGTCTTGACGCAACAATGCACGTGGACGACACGGGACTGCTGCGCCACAATAAGCCACAATCACCAGCACGTCCTATAAGCCAATATCTCAGGGGCTCAGGGGCAACACCAGACGACTCACGTCGACTGTTTCCTTTAGATTCATCACCAATCACCTTACACATGGTCATCCTGCTTTCTTCAGCAAGTGTAAAGATGGCAGAGATCATCATGCCTGGCTCTTGGTGCTGGCAGTCACAGAAACCATCGTTTGGAGAACGGAGCAAGAGCAGACAAGTTCAGGATGTTTTCTAGGGTGGCCAGCGGAGAGAGACTATGCTTGATTTAACATGGCACGGCTATGCAACAACGATTGTTGAAATAAGAGCCGTTGTGATTTTAGTCACGCTGGTGCACAAGACGTCACGTCGCCTTGTTCTTCAAAGGATAACCCCTCAGCCACTATTATTATCCAACGATTCAACCTATGAGCACATCTCAACGTTTAAATAAAGCGGCCGCAATATCCAAGGTCACCGCTCAGTCCTATTACCGGCCCGGCTCTGCCACGCGGGTCCCTTAGACTTAGACTGCTCCGCTTTTCCCGAATCTCACGGCACCCCACCGCCTCCGGGGTCCTCCGGGGTCTCCGTCCCCCGTGACGACCATCGGCACATCTTCCAGCTGAACAGCTGCAATATTTCCTTGTTTTCACAACAACAAGCATCACGCATCCTATTCTCAATCACGTCCGCAGAGAAATCTTGGGATCACCAGACCAGATGCCCAGTGCTGCGAACACGCTTGAAAACTCAACGTGATCCAAGCACCTTCGACATCTCCGTTTACTCATCTGTTGTACGACCCAAGCCAAAGGTGGAATCACGAAGCCTGCGAGCAACAAACCCTCTCTTCCATCTGCCCTTGCGGAGTTTTCAGGTTCCCAAGCTATTCGATCCCGAGCACCAAGATTAGAGACCATCAGGAATCCCACCACACCTTCACTTCTCAGCGACATCTTCCTCCTGCCTATCATCGTCACCTCTTCCGCCTTCCTCAGCCTTGGGTCGGAATTTCTCACGCCACTTTACGCCGCCTTCTTCGGCTTCAGCAAATGTATGATCTTCTCGTGTTGCTTTCCGACTACCAAGATTCGGCGCTGACATTTCTCGCCATTCCAGACCGTCTATAACGACAAAAGAAAGACATCATGGAGAACACCAACACGCTCGAAGAGGAGTACGAAGGCCTATCCAACCAGGTGGCAGAGACTCACATAAGCAACTTCTCAAAGTATGATGAAGTCAAGGCCGCGGAGAACGACAAAGCGGGCCCGCTCTCTTTCGGACTCGAGTTTGAGTTCCTAGTCGCGTACGTCGACGGGGACGTAGACGACCCTTTCATCGAAATGGTTGACCCGAACCCGGAGGATAAGCGCCCTCTGATTGGGTGCAAGTCCTCTGGCAGCCCATACGACGGTAACATCATACGAAAGGTCGCTTCTGCCTTGAGCAAGGTCGCCAGTGCGCCAGTTCGCCTGTGCGAGGATGACACATTCCACGAGCCCCACGACAATGTCCCCGTCTATGATGCCTGGCGCGTCGGACACGATTCATCGATTGTTCCCGGTTCGGAGATTCTCAACAAAGGATATCGATTCATCGACTGTGAGGTATCATCCCCGGTGATCAGCACGTACGACCCGACTCAGCGTATGCAGATCCAGGATATCGTGCGTGCCCTCCGCGGTCTACGTGTACATCTCAATGAGTCTACTTCAGTGCACGTCCATATTGGACGATGTGAGGAAGCCTTCAGCCTCCTCACCGTGAAGAAGTTATGTACCATGTTGTGGTTCTTGGAAGAGCAGCTGCTGGATCTGAATCACCCGAGCCGCAAAAACAGCAAGTATTGCTACATGGTGACCAAGTACTCGGTGCTCGCCAGAAAGACCCTGGAGGACCTGCAAAACGAGGAGACCGGCGTGAACCAGAACCTGCGAGACCTGGAGGAAATGGACGAGCATGCCCCCGCTGCTAAGGCCCCGCTGGCGGACGTCACAGAACTTCAACGCGCGCAGCTGCGCCGCATCTGGGGATGCACGGACTTGGAGGAGCTCGCCGTGAGTAGCATATCTGGGGCTTCGTTGAAAGGGCAATTACTGACTTCACACTTCGCAGCGCCTGATGCTGGGCAACACCAACGCGAGAGAAACAGACCCCCGCGCCGTGATCCAGCGCGGCTCGGTCGGCTTCAAGCGATTCATGCCCGCGGGCAAGAGCGGCGGAAACACGCAGACCTTCGAGTTCCGGCAGCAGATCGGCTGCCTCGATGCCGACCACATTCTCCGCTGGGTGAACGTCTGCCAGGCGTTCACCGACTTCGCTAGACGCTCCGGTCCCCTCACTTTCCGCGACTTCCTGGTGAACGTGGTCAACCAGAAGCCGGGAGAGAAGTATTCGGCGTTCGACATGCTCAAGGATCTGGGCATCAGAACGACGTATTGGAAGGCCCACGCCGCGGCGCTCCGACAGACCAAGGAGCTGTACCCGGGTGGTGAGACTGGAGGCCTGTTCGTCCCTCAGACGGCGTAGGGTTTTCCAGGAGCATGCATGGATTGATGGTCGTTTGGGCGGAAAATGTCGCTTTGCTAATACTACACAAAAATTAGTATAGGATGACCTGTTCGTCTCCTCTGAATTGATCATTTGCTTTTCGGTATAAGCACCCTGGAATAAGCAGTCTTGACCTAGTGATTCGCCGTTGACGTTTATGCCATACCGCTTATGCCAGAAACACAGTTGGTACCGTGGTCAGGCAACCTCGAATCACGAGTCACAACTTCCTTTCCGATCTATGTCCTTTAGGTTTATGCCATATATCTATGCCAGGTATAAACAAAGCCATTACCGTGACCAGAGTTTCTAGTTTCGAGTCACAACTTCCTTTCCAATCTATCCTTACCGCCCCCACGAAGTTTTAAGAGTTGTAATAATTTCCTTAAAGTTATTTAAACGTGTAATATTAAACAGTCGCATATCTACCGTGTCTTTATATCACCGTTTTATATAAGTAGATGTAAACGGTTAAATGCTCGGCTTAACAACGTTTTACTTTTATGTCAGATGTGGTGGTGGCTCTGGTGTGTAGTTTGAGGTGGTCCGTGCGTCACCATGTGTTGAATGGGAGCCGGAGATAAACACCGGAAGATCTCCAGTGGGGCAGATACGCACGGAGCATCTGACCCACCAAGAAGACAGATAATCAATCTCTGCACGCAGAGCAGAACAAGCAATAGCATCAATCAACATCCGTGTATTCAACAGATGTTGATGGATTCTCTTGATTGTTCTTGTTCTGCGTACAGAGACTGATCATCTGTCTTCTTGGTGGGTCAGATGCCCTGTGCGTCTCTGCCCCACTGGAGATCTTCCGGTGTCTATCTCCGGCTCCCATTCAACAACATCCGTGTATTCAACACCAGGCCACCTGTTTAGATAGCGATTCGTCCCTTCTAGACCACCGACCCGACACGAAAAAGAGGGAACCAACCCGATCCTGATCCATCCCCTGTCCTGACCCCTGTGTGACTTCTCACATTTTATAATATAATAGTATAATGTTTTATCTTTATGCCGTTATAATTTATTAAGTTATTTATAAGTCGTATGTTTAAGTTTTTAACTAGGCTATTAACTTTTTATTAGCTAGTATAGGCTCTTAAGCTAGCATTTCGTTAGCGTAATTTTCGAGTAGAGACATCTTTATATTAAACGCACGATTCGAAAACTATTCCCTTTTACTTTTTCTTTTAAGTTATAATCGCGGTCAATTACGGGTTTAAAAAGAGGTATTATTACGGTTTTATGTACCGTAGCTATATATAAGTAGATAAAAATGGTTAAATACTCAACTTAACAACCTATTTTTCTATGATATAATAGCACTATGATAGTTGCTACATCGCTACCATTGGTGATGGTCCTGGGATTACGTAACAGCACGTGCGTGACCTCCTGGACGACTGGTTGTCCCAGACCCACTAGGGCTCTGAATTGTGGGGCGGACACACTTATCTAGTTGCCCACCAGATTTGGCTATGCCACTCGATCTTCTTTTTTCTCTTCAGCTAGAGATAGTTATATGTACATATTAAACAAGGGCTTCTATGTCCTATTCACATATACGGAACGTTACAAGCATAATGCTTTATTTTTATGCCGTTATACTTTATGGTTTATACTTAAAAATTCTCTTATTTAATACGATTAAGCTGCTTTTTTTTCAACCCGTTTAATTTATTTACGCCGCTTAATAAAATCCTGCCGAATATATTCATTTCTTTTCGTGGTAAGCAGTTGCTAAAAAGTGAAAGGGAATTGTTGCCGTTCCTTTTAGATTGAGTGGGTTAACCGTATTTATACGGCTTATTGTAACACTGTGACGACGCTAAGGATGTTCCTGACGTTCGTTCATACCACAGGCTTACGCCAGATATAGTCGAGCAAGACTCTGTCGCCCAGCTCGAGTGCCTTCCGACCAACGACACGCCGCCTTGAACCTTACCATGTTATAACGTGCTCGCCTTGATTAGCGGGTACCCAGGCGTCACCCTTTACCGAGCGTCCTTTCATGTCTCTAGACAGGCTCACACTCGACACCGTGCCCCCGTGATGTGACATCACCCATGAACGCGCCAGGCGACATAACTTATGCGGACGATGAAAACGGCAGGTATTTGTTGCGCGCGCACGTGCCGATTCGTGTTGCCAGTACATACACTGAGACCTCATTAGTCTCCGTACACCACCCGTCTAGCAACCGACAGTATTTATCGAATCGGAATAAGCATCATGGAATGAGCATTGGAAGTGGCGTATCAAACCAGGGCTGTTTATTCCTGTCTGCTTATTCCAGTTTCGAGTCACAGCTTCCTTTCCGATCATATACTCTCAATCGATGCCTGCCTCTGTCATGATGTTCAGACCCCGGCGCCTTCTCAGTTGCCATTGCAGGAGGCGGCACCAGAACCATGGAGACACTGCCTCCGTATCTGCAGGTCTTCGCCATCCAACTTCAGCCATCATCCGACGACCATCTACCATCCAAACCACCAGCAATAGATCCAGCATCCGCATCCCTCGTTAATATTGCAGATCATCTCATTCCTTCACACTTACACCGCCACCCCCCCCTCCATTCTTACCTCGACGATGTCCGCACCAAGCTCAAACCATTACGGGCAGCCAAGCCCAGAGGAGCGCGCCTTCCGGGAGCGATTCGCCGCGCTCTCACAAAAATGTGCCGAACGTGGTATACAGTGGAAGAAGTTTGACAAGATAGCGCGAAGAGCGCTGGGACACGTAAACTATCGGGGATTGTACAATGACAAGAGTGAGCCATGGACAATCACATATTTTTTGTCGCTTTGGTGCATTGGAATATGGACGCGGTTGTGTGAGTCCCAATTGTTTTCTGCAGTACTGATGGATGTCTCGGTGGCGCGACTGACATACCACAATTCTGCTGTAGTTCCCAACGACAAGAACCTTCCAGGACGACTCGGCGGGTTGCCTTCCGTGATTCGTTCGGAGAAACTCGTGGACCCACCAAAGATAGCCGCAATTGTGCTCGATTTATGGGAAGGCCATCGCCTCTTGGGTAACTTGTTCATCGCAGTCGCCAATGCGGTAGCGGACGACTCAGGATACCACAGCGCGGAACCTGAAGATCAAGATCGCGACGCAGACAACTCGGGATCCCATCCCCTGGAAGCTAAAGGGCAAGATCACGAGGCAGACACTTCGGGATCTCGTTCCTCGGAAGCTGAAAAGCAAGATCGCAACACAGACGCCTCGAGATCTCGTTCCCCGGAAGCTGAAGGGCAAGGTCACGACGCAAACAACTCGGGATTTTGTTCCGAGGAAGCTTATGTGTCAGAAGCCCAAGTTGAGGCAATTCGCTCCTTGGTGGCCGCTGCTCGCGGAATCATCGACAAGTCTCCGACGTATCGGAAACGCCACAAGACGACCGAGTCTCTACTTGAGCTAATTTACCTCGGTTGGCAGGCAAAGGTCGAAGAACGTGCCAGAAAAAGCAGGGCGAGCGCAGTATGGGCGAGCACAACATGCCCGAGCATATCTGATGGCGCGAACAGCTGGACATACCCCGGCACCAAGGAACATCTGGACGAGCTCGCCAAGGTTGTCGAAGATGGCACAGCGGGGGGCGCCGCCCATCATGCATACAAAAAGTTGGGAGGGCTCATCAATGGTGAAAGAACATCCACCACGGAATGATTCGTTCTTCATCATGCCCGCGCGCGCATTGGTAACGATTCCAGGTCTGGGGTGAGAATATGGGGGAGAATCCGGGTCTTTAGCCAGCGGTGTGCCCCTGAGACCATATTTGTTTGCTTCCTTTCTTCTGTTCCTGGTTCAACCATAGCGATTGTCAGTACTTTCTATACAGAATGATCTATCGAATTGCTCAAGGTCAACGACTTACTTCACTATTTCGCTCGCTCGCCTGTCAGAAAGGCTGGAACCGATGATGACATATAAATCGAATAAACACCCTGGTATAAGCAGTGTTGATCCCAAAAGCCATCTTCGATGTTTATTCCAGAGTGGTTATCCCGGTACCCGCCCAGACTTATTACGTCGGCTAACAAAGACGTAATAAGTCTGGGCGGGTATCCCCTTGAGTGTTCGTTGGAGCCACGTTGTAGTGTACGACCAAGACCACCCCCCAGTCACATTACCCACTGTAGAGAACCAATCGTCGTGCTTGGAACAACCCTAAGCTGAAGATGGAAGGCTCTGCGTGGTCAGACAAGTGGCTACAGGGCACCGAGGTGATCTCTCATGTGTTGTACCTTATTTTTGGTGAGCTGGTGCCAACGAACACTTAAGGGGATACCGAGTATATCCCTTGCTCGCTGAACAAGGGCTGTACGGAGACTTTGGAGGTTCAGTGTAGTTGCTTAGCATCAGTCCAGTCCAGTCCAGACTCTGGAATGGATAGATATTCCGAGTAGAGCCCCGCAGAGGCTCCTCAAGATATCAGGACGGGGAGCTGTAGTCAGTCCAATGTGGCCCAAGAGAGCCCGTCAGCCGGTACCTGCATAATATTGGGTCCGAAAGGGCTGAGAAGTCGATCTGATATTGTATCTTACGGGAAATCCCGCCGCCTCCTCAACACCGGGTGTGTTTCGGACGGAGTGGATGTGGAGACATCCGAAGACGAAGACTGAGAATTGGCGGGAAACGCGGTGGGTAAGTAACGAGATGAGACGGGCACTTGACAATGGGTCTTCGTTATTGCAAGTGAACTGATACGAACTGTCGCTCTGTCACCGTCCCAGACATACGGTAGGATGGAGCATGGAGGCCACCAAATGCAGATGGAAATGGCTTTCCATCTGTCGGGGTGGCCCAAGCTCCCTGCTCAGCTCCGGCCCCGGCTTCTGGTTCCCATAGTGGTCAGGTTGTTGCTGGCTGCGAAGCGTTTCCTGAATATCTTGAATGTCAATCACACGGTAACAGAGCTTCTGTACCTTAGTGACGATCATTCATTGGCGGTGACATTGTGTCGGGACCTCATGGGACCCTCATGGGACTTATGGTGCATAATAACGGCCATGCCCTGTCGGCTTTCTGACATGGGCTGTCCGGAGGTATTAGGCGTCGGTCCCTGGAGATCATATGCAGGGCAAAGTGTTGAGATGCACAGATCAGCCTCACAATCAATGAGTAAGCCTTTTTGACTTCCAATTCCAGGGCATCGCCCAGCCTGGCAGCGAATGTCTTGAGCTGTCCTCTGCCTGCAAGAACGAGAAGCAGCACTGTACGCGCGGTGTTGAGGAGCATACTTCCAAGTTACATGCCGGGATTCCTGGCAGAGGAGCATCATCTGCATCTGTTCCGCAGAGGCTGGTACCGACGATGAGTCTTCTTGTTGAGTTGCATGAGGATTCCGTATAGGTAGTTGACATTGGAGTTGAATGTCAATTGCCACTGATCAGTGATAGGGGCAATTTGAGTATTTGACCTTGAATCTTTGACTTCTTAGGTTGGAGATGTTCCCGGCTCGAGACGAAAGACCCACCTGCACGGCACTGGAACCAAATTCCAGTACGGTAAAAGCTTGGACCAAGAGCAATGACGTCACTTCTACCTTGGAACTGCCCAGGTGCACAACACCGTGTAATAACGAAAAATACAAAATAATATAAACAGCATATATAATAACGTAGGTCACAAGCGAGCGGCAATTACAAGCGAGCGGCAACTTTTCACCAGCCACCCAACCTTTCAATCAAGGCTCCTAATTGATCAACCAACAATAATGGCATTGCGTTATAGCGAATCAGACTTACAGCTTGCTGTCCAAGCTAAGCGACGCGACCCTCATATTACCATTGGCAAGCTTTCTAAGACTTTCCATGTCCCATATAATACCTTGAAGGCTAGAATCGCCGGCCGACCATCACGACGCGATAGCATGCCTAATTCTTTGAAACTTACGGTTTCTGAAAAGAATGCCATTTGTTCCTTCATTCTCGACCTGGATGCGCGAGCATTTCCGCCCCGGTACAGTTATGTTGAAGATATGGCGGATCAATTATTGGCGGCGCGTGGGGCTGGACGCGTTGGAAAGAACTGGACGCGGAACTTCATCAAACGTACACCAGGCCTCCGGACGCGTTTTCATCGGAAGATAGACTACCAGAGGGTCTTGAACAAGGATCCAGACGCGTATCGCGCGTGGTTTTGCCAAGTTGCAGCGGCAGTCGCGAAATATGGTATCCAAGACGCGGATATTTACAACTTCGACGAGACTGGGTTTATGATGGGCATTATTGGGTCCGGCATGGCCGTTACAAGCGCCGAAAGACGTGGCAGGCCTAGACAAGCTCAGCAAGGCAACAGGGAATGATCTACAGCAATCTCTGCTGTTAATGCTGATGGTTGGGTGGTCCCGCCATTCATCATTCTACAGGGCAAAACCCACCTCGCGTCATGGTATCGCGACACAATATTACCACGCGATTGGAAGGTGGCCGTGTCCGACAACGGGTGGACCACGAATGAGATTGGTTTGGAATAGATTCAGCATTTCGACAAGTATACCAGACCGCATATGACTGCCGGTAAACGCCTCCTCATCCTAGATGGTCACGAAAGCTACCATTCCCAGGTCTTTGAGGATTATTGTCAGAACAATGGCATTATCACTCTTTGTATGCCTGCCTACTCGTCACACAGGCTCCAGCCTCTAGATGTCAGCTGTTTTAGCCCGCTCAAACGAGCTTACGGTCGCATGATTGAGGATCTCATCCGGCGTCATATAACCCACGTTTCAAAAGAGGACTTCCTTGCAGCGTTTTGTGAAGCACACAACGCTGCTATGACGCCTGGAAACATTCGAGCAGGTTTCAGTACCACTGGACTTGTTCCTTTTGACCCAGAAAGTGTCATTTCAAAGCTGGATGCTGTCGCTGTCATACGAACACCGTCGCCAGACCCCAATCTGCCACCCACTACTTGGACTTCGAAGACGCCTACCACCATTAACGAAGCGGTAAACCAATCGGTTTATATCCGAAACCGAGTCAGAAACCACCAGGGAAGCTCACTTACATCAATAATTGATGCGTTGAGCTCGTTTTCAAAGGCTACATACGGTCTTATGCATAAGGTCGCTTTGGTTGATTCCCGGGTCCGCGAACTAGAAGAGGCCAATCACCTATTAAGTAAACGCCAGAGAACAAAAAACAAACGTCTAGTGAAAGGAGGAGTACTTTCTGTTGAAAATGCAGTAGATCTTTAGGCTGCAAAGGATGGTACTGAGCTGGCAAAACAGGAAATGGGTGAAGATAGTCGTCGTCCGAGGCGGGCAGCAGCGCGTGGGCGACGGTGTGGCGTTTGCGGCAATACTGGCCATAATGCGCGAACTTGTACAATAGAGATAGAAACCTCTGAGGAAGAGGAATCCGATTGATTGAATTGAACTGAATGCGTTGTGGTGAAGTTATTTGACATGGCAGTTGGAGAGTTCATGACGAGTGCCAACTCGCTTGTAATGTCAACTCGCTTGTCAGCTACGTTATTCAGTTTTATATATGAAGTCACTTTTGTGACGGCCTGCACAGACCTTCCCACATGACAAGTGGATACTTCCCAATAGAGGAAGGATCTGACCAGAGGATCTCCTTAAAGGGGCAACCTCCCACTGTATCTATCTCTCTCTCTCTCTTCCTTTCCTCTCTAGTCTTGATATTCTCGTAAATAGAGTAATAGCTGCTTGCTGCCGGCCTTATCCCAGCTCCTCAGTAAGCTCACCGTGACAACTTTGGTTAATTTTTAAATATACGAGTTAAAAAAAGCCAATTACCTATTCAGTAAAGCCCGGAAGATAAAAAATAAACGTTCAACAAAAAGTAAAGTACTTTTTGTTAAAAATGCAGTAAGTTTTTAAGCTGTAAAAGATAGTGCTGAACTAGCAAGATAAAAAATAGGTAAAGGTAGTCGTTGTTTGAAAAAAGCGGCAGCCTGTAAGTAACGTTATAGGGTTTACCGCAATACTAGCTATAATGTACAAGCTTATATAATAAAGATGGAAACGTTTAAAGGGGACAAATCTGATTAATTAAATTAAATTAAACGCGTTGTATTAAGCTACTTAATATATTATTTAAAAGTTTCATAATAGCTTTCAGCTTGCTTATATTTATAGCTTGCTTGTTACTTACGTTATATACTTAAACATCTTTAAATGTTTAAAGTTTAATAAACTATCAAGTGTATATTAGTCGTAACTAACTATTGTTTTAAAATGAATATTCCAATTTTTCCAACGTTATTAAGTGCTAATTATTAAATTTCTTCGTTAATAGCAAAGAGCTTTAAACGTTTATATTTAATTCAAACGTTTATAACCCTTTAACTATTTATAAACAGTTAATTATTAATTAACAGCTTAATTACTAGCTGTTAGCTATTTGTGATGGTTCCACCACCCATCAGGTCTAGCAATGGTCTCTATGGTCCCCGGGTCACGTGACTGAGCACGTGACTGATCGGACGATAGGTTGATCCATGCCCTGGTGGGTCTGGTGGGCGACGACTGCCCACATCTAGCTGCACACCAATTCGGGTGCATCTCCAGATCTTAACCAGAGTTTGTTATACGTTAATAGTTAATAAGGGTTGTATCCTTGCAATACATTTACGGAATCATGACACTATTTTACCAGCTGTCACGGGCCAGCTTGAAGACTAGGACGAGAATGTCCATCAACATCTTCAATTGTACAAAAATACTTTAGTGAGGAAGGGAAGAAGGATCTGCAGCACCAGCCAATTCTGCTGGGGTGATAGATCCCAAATCCCGATCCACAATTATCTATCAATCTGTGCAGCGGGGCAACGCGTCAACCCCACTGATAACCCTAGTCACCTGATGGATGTCAGATCCATCACACCAGCCAGCTACCTAGCTAATCAGCTAATTGCTAGCCGCTATTATTAATAAAAAGGTAAAAGATTAATTAAACGAATATAGGAAGGCTTTAAACGCGCTGCTTTCATATACTTATAAGTTGATTAAAATTAAATTACAAAAAGAAAATTTAAAATATTTACGAATGATAAGTAGTTGCGGTGGCATATATTAAATTAACTGCGAGCTGTAAAGACTTATGATTTACGAGACTATTTACAATTTAAGTGTTTTAAAAGGCATTTATATACGTTATACTTAGATTGACTTTAAGCTTCGCAATATTAAAATGTCAGGGCTTATTAGCGGTTAATAATTATTCAGCCGATTATATACTGTAAACGCTGTATAAATGTTTAACAAATTTTAACGTTGACGGACGCTCAAACATTGCAGAGCCCTAGCATTGTCGAATATTGACGTTAATTAGCTCTGAACAGTTAATTGACTGCTGGCAAACCTACAACCGTCTGCCAACAGTTGGCTAGAATACTCTGATCCTAGTACAGATCCGTGTTTGTGTCTTTGGCCGGAACAACTTCCAGACCGCTTACAAACCCGCGGTTGAGGGTAATACTGGGGTAAACCCTCGGCTACCGACAATTTCCGAGCCATATCCTGGTGGTCCGTGGTACTATTAGGTACCCTTTAATACGTCACTACTAGAAAACACACGTGTGAACCTGAAAAATACAATACAACACAATATAAGACAGTACATGTATTGTATTGTGTTTCTCAGACTCCATCAATGGAACCTCCCGAGGTCCTTAGAAGTTAGCCTACACCCGGACCACAGGAGCTCTGTACCCCGCAATTCATGGATGCGCGGCATCGGAACGACCATCCGTCGGCCATGGCATCAGAACTTCAACATCAGCCTACGGTATCTCTCCCAAGGGCCAAGGGAAGTACGTCCTTTTCTATTATACTCCTTTGCACCTTGCACTGGCTGCAGTACTGGAATGCACTGTAGTCTGTAGTCCGGCCCAACGGCCGACCTGTCCCACGTTGCGTACGGCGAGTTCCGATGCACGTTGAGAAGCCGGAGCACAGGTTGAATAGGGCGAATGAGGCGCGTCGATGGCGTGGTACTGCTGATTCTCGATGCCGAGTCTCGCCGTGCCTCGTTACAGACGTTCTTTTCAGATGGTCCTTCCAGACGAAGTATCTCTGTTGATTTGAGTGCAGGTGGCCCAGTGGTTGGCTTTCAAATTGTTGGGAACTCACAGACAGCCCCTTGATGTCTCTCGAGGGCCATCCATGGAGGTGTGTGTGTCCCTGCCGTTGAAGCCACCGGTCAGGCAAACCTCCAATTGCCGTTGTTGCCCATCGATGATCGCCTTGGCTATGTAGCTTCTAACAATGGGCAAACCCCGCATTCTCCTTCTGATACTGCATGCTTCCAAGGTTCTCCTGGGGCGAGAAGCTACGGATGCCGGTTTGACGCCAACACCTCGCCAGTGGCATTGGAGGGCCACCTCGAGGTCCATCTTCCTTTCGATTGCCAATGGAAACCTTCTCGAGTGGCACAGTGACACGCCGCCAGCGGCCCAGCGCTCGCGAGTACCGGTGCGTGTAGGCTGGCTGGCAGGCAGTTGGATGCCAGCCAGTTGGAGGCAGGTAGGTGTGTACCGTGTGTTGGAGTCGCCTTCTCCATCAGGCCTTTCCATTTATTATCAGGTAACTATTCCCGCGACTCGCTCATCGTTGCCCATCGTTGCCCATCGTCACAACCCGACTTCGATTGTCATGACTTGAGTCCATGGCCCCGTTGCCCTGTTGCCCACCCTCTTTCAGGCCTTCCTTCTACAAACAATCCACTTCGCAGATTAAGGTTCTTTAGTATCATCCCAGTGAGCTTGTTTTAACAAGGTAGGGAACGCCCGACTTGTGGTTGCCTCACTGTTCTCCTCACCTGGGCAGGTCTCCTTACCTACCTAACCTACGTCCACTATCATCATCCCCCCAACTCCCCCTCCCTTCCAGTATCATCCTACTCCAACCATCTGTTCCTTGGGCCTGGCTGTTGTCGCGTATACCTCATACTTACTTGACTTGCGAAAACGTACTGTTCTGTTGATTCCCCCATCAGCACTCCTTTTCTTACTTCCCTGGTGTGTAGCTGCCGTTGACCGTACCACCCTTCGGTCGCCGAGGGCACACTCCTGGTTCGAGTCCGATATCTGACCGGCAAGAAAAGCGTTGACGCCACGCACGCCAGCTCGCACGAGACAGCTCCCAGCTCCCCCTATCGTGTCTGACCGGTATACCTCTAACTGCCCATCGCCTTCCACACTAGTGGCACCTAGACAACTATCCTGGCTTTATACCCCATCGAGATTCGAGACTCGAGCTTGCCCAGCCCGAGGCATTTTTATCGATTCGTCGTGGTTATTCTATAGGTTGGTGCTCCCATTCTCTCGACTGTTTCTGTTCGCCGTCGGACCGGTGTGATGTCGCCGTCGGGTTGTTGTCACATGCTCGACCACCCAAGGACCAAAGGACCAAAGGGGGGCCTACCCAAGGCTAAGGTATACGGGCCTACCAGCTACCATGCGTCAAATGTAGATCCCCCAATCTGGCTCGAGTATCCGAATATGCGGCTGCCAAACGTTCGCGGCCCCTCCCTCCTATTACAATCTCCACCTCTGCCGCAGCTTGTCAAAGGCATCCCTATCTTTTCCGAACAGGGTCCACATTGTAACGAGACACTATGGATACCTCAACTCCATTATCGCCCTACCGTTTCAACCCGTTCCTGTGCAGCCGACTTACTAGCCGGGTGTTCAGCCACCTCGGCCATGTCAGAACGGTTCGGTGCGTGTTGGCTTTATGGACCAATCTTGTCTTGTTGGACTTCCACAAAGAGCTACCTACCCTCTATCGGGCTCCAATCTTACTGTCACACACCCGAGACGTCTCTCGTTCTCACCATATTAAAGCCTCAAGGCAGCACTTTTGCAAATATGTTGCTGACCAACTGCCTTTCTCTTCAGCTATATCACTCTTCGCGCTCATCCCCAGCCCTTGGGTGAACGGGTCTCGGTGTGTCTCACTGTACGAAGCTTCCAAGCGCTTGCCACCTCTCTGAACCATGAGCTCCAACACCCTGAAGCAAGCAGCGGACGCCGCGCGCACCAAGTCTTCCAACATGGGCAAACAAAGCACCGAGACCGTCGCCGCCGTCAAGACCGACTTCCTCCATACCCCTCTGATGCGGGCTGCCCTGCCATTCATCAATGGCGGTCTCTCTGGCATGGTGGCAACAACTGTCATCCAGCCAGTCGACATGATCAAGGTCAGGCTGCAGCTCGCAGGCGAGGGCGTTGCTACTGGTCCGAAACCCTCCCCTGTGTCAATAACTCGAGACATTATTGCGCAGGGCAAGGTTCGCGACCTATACACAGGACTTTCGGCGGGTCTCCTTCGCCAAGCCGTATATACCACAGCGAGACTGGGTTTTTTCGACACAATCATGAAGAATTTGACGGCTCGTGCAAAAGAAAAGGGCACACAGATCGGGTTCGCCGAGAGGGCAGGTTCAGGTCTTGTCGCTGGGGGTATCGCAGCCTTCATCGGAAACCCGGCCGATCTCGCTCTCATCCGCATGCAGTCGGACGGCCTGAAGCCTCTCGCCGAGCGTAAGAACTACAAGTCGGTCATCGACGCCCTATCTTCGATCGTGAAGTCGGAGGGCGTGACAGCGCTGTGGGCTGGCGCCACGCCGACAGTTGTGCGGGCCATGGCGCTCAACCTGGGCCAGCTGGCGTGCTTCTCGGAGGCCAAGGCGCAGCTGAAAACGCGCACGACCCTGTCTCCCAAGGTGCAAACGCTGACGGCCAGCGCCATCGCGGGATTCTTCGCCTCCTTCTTGAGTCTGCCGTTTGATTTCGTCAAGACGCGTCTGCAGAAGCAGCAGCGCGGACCGGACGGCAAGCTGCCGTATAAGAGCATGGCAGACTGCTTCGCCAAGGTCGCTAAGCAGGAGGGCCTGCTGCGCTTTTACCGCGGCTTCGGGACGTACTATGTGCGCATTGCACCGCATGCGTAAGTCTCACTGCTTTTCCTTATCTCATCCGAACCTACCCCGGGGCTAACACCACCTCTCACAGCATGGTAACCCTCATCGTAGTCGACTATCTCGGCTTCCTGACCATATAGGGGTTGCATATCGCGGTCCAGAACGATATTATGTTTTAGTCTGTATACTCTGACCTAGTTTGTTTCCTAAAGGGCGGCAAGAAGTTTACGCTGTTCGGGTTGGCGTTTGGATGGACTGTACCCGGTTGGATGGTGGTCTTCGTCGTCGATATTTCGCATAGGGGCGGAGGATTACATGGATAGCATGCAGTCTGCCCGCCCATCCGTACATTGCTAGATCGCTTTATACCTGACCTGCTTGCGCTACATGGCACATGGTGAGGATTGCTGACTGTCATCGGTGGCGTATGTGATCTATACCCCAAGCATACTGGGTTGTTTACCGTGGTGTCTTTATCGTAGATGTAATGGTAGGGGTTAAGGGTGCTGACAAGGGCCTGTTTTAGTATTCAAGCCTCGATGCTTATGTAAAAGAAAAAAGGCGTAAGGCCGTAAATAATCTAGGTAGGTTCATAACTATCATTACGCATAGACAAGCACCTCGGGATGTGCCTATAGCTGCCCGTATATTGGAATGGTCACTAAGAAAAAAATGAATCAAATTATGCCCAAGCATGAAGTCGAACCACGCACCTCCAAGCCTGTTATCGCCGTAAGACGAAAGCCCAGGGAACTTGGCGTCTTGCCGCTAGACCACGAGGACGTTGTTTTTCTTTCTTTTTTCCTCATTTGCTTTTCTATATTTACTTGAAGGATGTCAACATCAATCGAACCCGATGGACGGGTTGTCATAAAGAGAAGAGACCCAGTCCCCATTGCTGGGACGTGGATTGGAACTCCATGCAACGTCGAGTTGTGAATGGGTTTTGCTCCCCTTCGTTACAACAGGGTTTGTGATGATAAGGGACCTATTAGGTAGACAGCACCAGCACCGTACGAACGGGCACGTCCGTCCTGTCAACAAACAGCAGACAGACCTCGCTAGGAGTACATTATATACCACCATCGCGCTCTCTGAAGCATCTGTTGTTGTTATTGTCCACTGGTCCAGTCTGGGCGAAGCGGTTCCCTCACCAATCCCAGGTTCCAGCTGCTATCAGGGATCGTAGGTAGGTAGACTGAGACCAGACACGTGTTCGGAATTAGACGCTGTAGGTAGGTAACTTTTATCTCGAGACGTATCCGAGTACTCAGCGGTAGATCGTGTGCGTCTGACCAACTGCAACACACCTGGTCGGCTCCATCAAAGGGAGGCCTTGAGTAGTCCGGTGCCGGGACCTGGAGGAAGGTCTCGGGGTCGGTGTTCGATGCTATAGCGGATATATATCATATACGAAGCATAGGTACTTGGCCCGAGGCATGGATTACTGCCATGGCCCCCGACCACCGCCGCCGCCGGCGGAATAGAGACGGTGACGTGAATGCCGGCACGTGGACGGACCGAGGCATGGTGGAAGACAACATCGGCCGTTCGACTCGCAGTCTACGACTTGGTATATTTCTCTCACCGTGTAGGAAGGGCTGTTCGAGCTGGTAATTTACTATCCTGAGAACACAGTCGAGACAGAGGTCGAGAAATTTGGTAAGCCAATCGCATTTCTCTAATGCCCATTTCGCGGTCTTTGCAACACTATTACTACATACTCATACACACAGGCACACAGCGGATCATCCTCTCCTGCTCTCAAGCTTAGTACATATGACCCAATTCATTTGTCCAGTCGGCCAAAGGAACATCTCCCGCCCGCTCCGGACCTCCCAATCCTCAAATCCCGAAGCCCCGCACGTGCGAAGCAGGACCTCAATCTCGTCGGCGGTACGGGTGCGCAACGAGGAGATCAAGCCATCGAAGACGAGCACGAACGGCACGATGGGCATGACGTAGACGAAGAACAGTGTCTGCGGGGAGTTCCAATAGAAGAGCGGCGCGAACGCCATGATAAAGAATCCGAACATGAAGCAGGAAACTATAGAGGACAAATTGCGGGACTGAAGCTCGAATATACTAGTGTCTTGGTGTTAATTGCCTGGGCATTTCAGATGGGTTTGGCGGAATAGAGACATAGGGTGGGACAACAGCGAAAATGAGGGGGCAGAGTGCACAACTTACCCAAAACCATCACTCGTCTCGACTGTGTTTTTTAGGATAGCGCGTGCCAGGTTGTCGTCGAAGTGATGGAACGCAAGGTTGAACAGTCGGAATACCTTGCCGTTCCGCGTCGGGTGTCTTTGTATCAGTTCTACGGGTGCATCTGTTGCATCCACAGGCTCCGAGACATATGACAGGTGCTCGCTCTTGCTCGATGCCACCTCCCAGCTCGAGATGTGCGGGTGCAAGTCGGTGAGGATGAACTTGACGGCCTTGCTGCTGCCATCTCCGTCTTCCTTGCTCTCTCCGTTTACTGTCGGCTCGACCGACGCCACGGCCGCATAACTCACACCCTTGATGGGCTGGTTTTCGATTACTTCTCCTGCATTGGACGAAGGATTTGAGGATGAAGGTGGTGAGGATGACGCAGAGGTCGAAGATTCCAGTTGGCGGTTCAGAGCCTGCTCTATGAAAGGCGTGGGACCTCCGGCGCCCGCGCAGAAGTCGATATAGGTGTATTTAGATACTGCCGAGCCCAGTACTCGACGGATTGTCTTTGCGACGAGATTGGCGGCACTACAAGACTGTAGAACAGGGATGGATATGGTCCACGCATGCGTAAGTCCGGTCTGCACGTATGCGCGCAGAAAAGAAGGGAACCTGGTTGGATCTCATGTTAGTTAGGTCGGTCGATAGCTTGCCCGGCAAACAGGCAGGCAACCCCAAGACAGGGGAAGTGGCATGTGCATTCCTAAGCACGAAGTTGACCAGAGCAGCTAGAACGAGCGAATACTTGGGGATCAGACATGTGTGCTGCAAGGGAACTTGCTTACCATGGCTGGTCATTGACCTCGAAAAGATGCAGTCGAGGAATCCATGGCGCCATCTCGTTGGTGCTAAGGTGCTAGCTAGGTAGCTACACGTGTGATGTCGACAGCGGGCCAATTGACACAATCTGGAACGGAGTGAGATACAGCTTCGGGGCAGTAATAGAGTCTGCTCGCCGCAATGGGAGCTATATAGTAGTACGGTAGTTCTAATAGAGGAACATCAGGTTGATTGTGGGTTGTTGTTGAGATGGAAGAGAAAGCTTCGACATGCCAAGACAGCAGCTTGGTCGTCATTATGAGACACAACTCTGACAGCTCTGACGTGCCCCTTGCAGCAGAGCAGCAGAGGTCCCGACAGCTCGATGACCCCACTGTCCCGCATGGCCTTACTGCATGCTGTGGCTAGTGCAGGTGGTGTAGGGCCGGAGGAGCTGGCCCGGCGGCACCTGGGCAGCCTGGTAGTTGTGACCCCATTGTTTCTCGGTAACATAACGTAGATAACGACTGTGGCGCATGTTTCATCCCTGTAACACATTATCGGTGAGGGCCTGGTCGATTGACGTCCCTGGCAGTGAAGCTGTCATTGACATCATTGAGGTCATCATTGCCTCACGCGCCGTTGCGAGGTAAATCCGCCATCAGAACCTACGAAAGATTAGCACATACATAACCTTCAGCCAATGCGCCCCCGATATTGCCATGAACGACTTGGTACATAGCCGACGGACATAATGGCACTTCGAGAAGGCCATGGGCTCATCTGGGTTGTACTCATCGCAGCTCTCGTGACTTATCGCTTCCTCTTGCGAACCCCGAGCGTCAAACGCAACGGCCTTGCTTTGAGGTGCGTAACACTTCTCGCTCCTTTTGCCAACCGAAACTCGACGCTCACCCTACCGCAGACAGCCACCAAATACTCTTCCTCTCGTTGGAAACGGGATCTTGTTCCTTCAGGCCCGCCAGAAGCTCTTCTCGTGGTTTGTCAAGTGTGAACGCCAATTCGGCTACGAGACGTTCCAGATCACAGTGCCCACCCTCCACCCAGGTGTGGTAATCAATGACCCCAAGAACCTGGAGTATGTCTTCAAGCACGAAGGAGTCTTTGCGAAAGGCGACTTCTTCAAGCGACGCGCGTGGGACGTCTTCGGAAATGGCATCATCAACGCCGACGGGGAACTTTGGAGGGTCATGAGGAAAGCCGGGCTTCATTTCCTAAACACGTCAAACATGCGTGTCCTGACAGATGTGGCGCTGCCTCGGTATCTCGGCCAGAGTGTCGATCGCCTAAAGATGAGAGCTGGGGATGGCAGTGTCGTCGACTTGCAGACCGTCTTTCACGAGATTACCAGCCAGTTGATGGGAAAGATGGCTTATGACATGGAAATGCATGCCGACGACGACTTTACGTTGGCATTTGACTATGCATCGGGCGTTACGGCAGAGCGGTTTCAGAATCCGCTATGGTTTATAACCGAGCAGTTCACCGGCTCGCGTTTCCGGAGCTCCCTTGCCATCATTCGCAGCTTTGGTGACAGGATTGTTGAGAGCGCCGTTAGTCATTCTCGACCGAACGGGACAACCGATTCCAAAGGTCAGTGCAGATCATTCCTCGGTGCCAAAAGCAATGAAGACGTGTTTCTGTCAGCTTAATTCCTTCACCCGGATGAGTTTTATGAGCAAGTTGATCGCATATGCCGAAGCGCGGTGCTCACAATACCACCACAGACACTACGGACCAGAGTTGTCTCGATACGGAATCCGGCAGCCTGATACAATCTCTTCTTAGCACCCTGGGCTCGCAGAAAATGGTCGCCGATGCTGCCCTCAACTACCTTTCTGCCGGACGAGATACCGTCGCCCAAGCGCTCACTTGGAGTATGTATCTCCTCATTGAGAATGAGTCAGCCGCCGAAAATGTTATTCAAGAAGTGAAGGGGGTGGTTGACGCGAGTGGGGAGTCTCCCGAAGACCTCGGACGATATGGTGAAAGTGTACACTCGACCATGTTCACGCCAGCATCACTTCCGTACACCATGGCAGTGTTCTACGAAGCATTGCGCCTCTACCCTCCGATCCCATTCGAGATCAGGCAATGCGAGGAAGCGACGACACTGCCAGATGGCACCTTTCTTCCCCACAAGTCCGTGGTACTCTGGTGCACATGGGCTATGAACAGGTCTCGGATCACCTGGGGCGATGACGCCGACTCCTTCCGCCCGGAGAGATGGCTCACCGCGGACGGCAAGCTGCTCCCAAAGAGCGCGTCGGAGTATCCCGTCTTCAATGGCGGTACGCGAACCTGTCTCGGAAAGCGGATGGCCGAGCTCATGGCTGTCCAAGTCATTGCAACAATGTCACTGATGTTTGACTTCGTGCCGGCATACCAGACTGAAAGAGTCAGCAAGAGTAGCCTCACCTTGCCTATGGAGGATGGCTTGCCGTGTTATGTCAAGGCCAGGGCACATACCCCGGACACAGACTCAACTCTAGAATCTTAGGAGGTTGGTCCGGCTTGGGACTCGAGTAAATGAGGAAAGAGTACGAAAAGCCCCTGGCAGTTTGCGCGCGCCGAAACTCATGTTGACGCTTTCAATCCGAGAAAAAGAATACCTTGTGAAGATCTTGATCGCCGCGTGAATGCATCTTCGAGCGACTAACAAATATACCATCAAGGGTTTGCCAGTTCAGGCCTGGAATTACTGATCACCTACCGCTCTTGACACATAATATGCCGCACATCAGATGATCATGCATAGCTCCAAGCCACGATCTCACTGGGCGTCAGCTCTTCCCCACCGACTGCCTAACGAGGCTCTCAAGACCTTGTCTCTGATCGGTAATGTCTATGTATGGAAGAAAAGGTGACAGCTGCGCTGGGAGCTCGTATCGATGGACTGACTAGCCTGCCACCAATGGAGTATCCGTATTCCCTTCACCGCGCACCTCTCAGAGACCTCTCGGAGTTTCGAGAGGATGGCGCCGGATCTGGGACGGCGGACTGTCTACCGGGAGGCTCGTGTACATCCCGTGAGGTCTTCGGTATTGGCAGACTCTACAAAGTATAAGTCCAGATCTTTTGGGAACGTTGTCGGTCTAAAAGAAAGGATACCAGGCATGGACCCGTGCCAGATCCGGATACTCCTGAGGACTCCCCGAACGCAGCTCAAAGTACGAAGACACCAGACGGGGTATGAAGAGTCTTTTCCGACCAGAAGGAGTCCAACAGCACCTAGGGGTTCGTGGACGCTATTATTTTGTTGTCGCATGATCTCGGCCTGCGCTACCCAGTGACAGCATCCTGGGTTGTCAAGCCATAAAATAAAGACTTCGAAACAGGAGATCACGATAATCCATGCTACCAAAGTGGATTGGTTGAATTCGTATCTCACCGCCAGGGCATTTGGCCCCAGTATGGGATCTCAATAGCATACATGTATTTGCATTCCCATCGGGCTCAATCCCATCTAGTTTATCTTCGTGTATGACATATATCCAAGCATACGTATACACATGTACGCATGTACAAACAGCAGTCCATATAACACAGGCCTCCAGGTGTATATCCAAGACGCGACGCGACCTCCAATACGGATTGATTTCCTAAAACGTGGAAGGGAACGTCGTCAACCGCCCACCATCCGAGATGATCACAGTCCCGTTGCAGTAGGCCCCGGCTCGCGACGCGAGATACAGGATAAGACCGCCCATGTCCTTCTCGTCGCCCGTGCGCTGAAGCGGGATGATCGCCTTCGTGATGGCCGGGCCCCTGTCGAGGATAGGCGCCGACATCTCACTCGGATACACTGCAGAGCCGTCAGCCACATCCACATCCACATCCACATCCACATCCACCCACAATTCCTCCCATGAAAATCCACAAGAGCGAAACGAGGGAAATAGGGAAACACTCACGCCCAGGACAGATAGCATTAGCCCGAATATCCCACTGCGGCAGCACAACCGACAGCTGCTTCACCAAATGCGTCGCAGCCGCCTTGCTCTGCCCATAAGCAAAGCCGCCCGTGTTCACCTTATTAAACCCGCCAATCGAGCTCACGGCCACGACCTGGGCCTTTTGCTCGACATTGCCATTCTCGTTGCCCGCCGCCAGCAGCTTCAAGAACGCCATGGTCGTGTACCAGACCGCGGCGACGTTGACTGCAAACGTCTGCGTGAACTCCTCGATGGGCGCGGCCATGTTCGCTTCTACAAACTCGTCGAGCGACGTTGAAGATGGGTCTGGGCGGAGCCCGTACGGCCCGCCGATGCCCGAGTTGCAGACGAGCAGGTTGATGTGGCCCGTTTGCGCCTGGATGGCGGAGGCGGTGGCGCGCAGCGCCGCGACCGAGGTCACGTCGCAGGTTACGGGCACGACGACGCCGGGGGGCCCGGTGGCGGAGGCGGCGGCTTGGAGGGTGGAGAGGCGCCGGCCCAGGATGTAGACTTTGGAGGCGCCGTTGGCGGCTAGGGCTTTTGTTATCATGAGCCCGATGCCTGGGGGGTTTGTCAGTTTTTTTTGGTTGTTTTGATATGGGGGTGAGGTTGGACGACGGACCGGAACCGCCGCCTGTGACTACGGCTACGAGGCCCTTGACGTTGAAGAGGCTGCTTGCATCGAGTGCAGATGTGTCTTGGTCTGGGTTCGTCATCTTGTCTCGTTTGTTGAGAAGTTATGTGATACTGGAAAATAGCGACTAGTGACTTTAGACACGGAAGCAGCTCTCTACCGTTGTCAGAATATCTCAAGACGGCAAACGACGGCGTCTGACTTTATTGATGGAGCTCGGGGGTAGCTCGGGGGTTAGATGTAAAAGGAGCAATGACATTTCATGCGACTAAATATGAACCAGTGGCTAGTCGGCTGGATTGAAACGGCTTCGAGAAAGAGATTGAGATATGCTAAGTTGTACCCCAAAACGACATCAGAATTATTCATAAGTTGTCGAGACCCTCGAAGTCCCCAAGGTGACGACATTCAATGAATGTTCATCAACATTGGGGATACTGTAATGCCCCGCCATCGCATCGACAGCATCGACAGCTACCCCTCAGTGGATCCCTGGATTGCGACTTCGGAAGTCGTCCTCGTGGCACATGTATGGCCCAAGCTTCTTCTTGCTCCGTACCGTGCTGACTGCGCCGAAATCAAAATTGCACACTGTCCCCACATCTCCCAAAATTTATCTAGATCGTCTCTATCCAGTCAAAGTGCAGCAACAGCCGTGTAAGAAACCCAGCCAGCCCTGCGCAAACAGCCAGCCAAAGCCCGTTATGCCGAAACGGAAAAGAGAGCCGAGTCTCGAAGACAGACTCGCACAATGGCGCAAGGATCTCGTGCGCGGCCTCAAGACAGCCAAGGGCTTCGAGCGCCAGCGCCTCAGCAAGCGCCTGCGCGACGCCGACGCTGAGAAGACGGCGCGGTTGGAGAGGGAGATCGCTGTGCTGAAGGTGCGCTTCCCTTATTACACTTCCCTAGTTCCTCGTCTCACTTGTGCCGATACTTGTAGACTTACTACCACCATGCTAATACTATTCTCCATCGCAGAGTCTTGACCTCCCCCAAGCGGCGCACGCCATACTATGCTCCTCGCTGCTCAGGATCAAGGGCATGGCCGAGGCGCCCAAGCTGCCCGCCGACATCAAGCAGGTCCCCAAACCCGACCTGTCCGAGGAGGAAAAGACGGCGCTACATAACGTCACGAGCGCGCTGTGCAACCGCAAGCATGTCAAGGACGTGATCGAGGAGGCGGTCATGGGGACATGTATTGCGCTGCGCGTGCCGATGCCCGACAAGAAGGGCAAGGGCAAGGGGAAAGATAAGGAGAAGGAGAAGAAGAGCGATACCGCCAAGAACGAGAAGGTGGAGCAAGCTGACGATGAGGATATGGATGTGGACGGTGTTGAGCCAGACGATCAAGGCGAGGACGAGGAAGATGCAGGGGAAGACTCAGAGCTTGACGGAATGAAGCTGCTGAAGCGGATACGCGAGAGGGCAAAGGGCGACAGCGATCTCGAAGACGACGAAGGCTCAGACGTGCCTTGGAGCCCGCAGTTTGAAGGGTTCTCCGACAGCGAGGCCGAGGAGCGCGCGTTCTCGCGGTACGACAATCTCGTTGGTGAACTAAGCGACGAGGACGAAGAGGAATCAGACGAGGAAGGGGGCAGCGACGACGAAGAAGACCTCGAAGACAGCCGAGCGAGGTCGATCCGAAAAGCCGCAGCAGATGACATATCACTCTCACCCAACGACTCAGAGCAGTCCTCGGAGTCGGAATCAGAAGACGAAGCCCTAGCCCCGCCTCCCAAAAAGGCGCGGATGAGAGCCGTGAACGCAGCCCCAGTCACCGGCGACAGGTCTGCCTTCCTGCCCACGCTGATGGGGGGCTACATATCGGGCTCCGAGTCCGCGTCCGACGTCGACGTCGCGCCGCCCATGAAGAAGAACAGGCGGGGCCAGCGGGCGCGGCAGGCCATCTGGGACAAGAAGTACGGCGAGAAAGCGAAGCACCACCAGAAGGAGAAGCCCAGCAGGGACCAGGGCTGGGATATGAAACGCGGCGCCGTGGGCGACGACGACGGCGGCGCGAGACCCTGGAAGAAGGGCATTCGGAATCCGTTCGAGAAGTCGCAGGTCCATCCTGAGCGGCAGAGGCAGATGCAGGGTGGCGAACAGACCGGCGGTAGTAGGGAGCAGCAGGGTGGATACCAGGGCGGGGAGCAGGGCAGAGGAGAGGGCAGAGATGATAGGGCGAAGGCGAAACCGAAGCCTAAGCCACCTACGCGAGACGATACGGGCCCGCTGCATCCCAGTTGGGCGGCTGCTAAGAAGGCGAAGGAGGAGAACCAGAAGGTGGAGTTTCAGGGCAAGAAGGTTGTTTTTGACTAGATACCATGTCAGCGAGTTTCTAAATCAAGAGATTGCATTATACGCTTGATCCCAACACCCGGATGGTTTTCGATATGGACCGCTGCCAGACAAGCTGGACAGGAAGACCAACATGGTCATCCAGGGGGTTAAGTTGTGTTTTGACTAGAAGACACCATATTAGCGCATCACCACCTAATTCTGTGTTCACATTCGACATGTCACGATCACATTCACTGGAGCAGCATCATTGAAGCAGCAGAAGATTTGGGAACCGGTCAATTAGGGGGCTATCAAGTTAGGACTCCGGCAATGGTGCTAATCCATCCACCGTAGATACGTGCTGCGAAACGAGAAATCGAACCCAAACCCATAGTCGGCGCAGAATCGGATATGACAGACAGTCTGTCAATGCTGTCAAAGGAACCCTCGCCAAAGTCTGCGCACAACTGAAGTGTAAAGCCTGTCGACCAGTTCCTGGTGTCCTGTGTGACAGTGTCTGATGTTATAGAGTCTGTATGCCAATGTTTGGTATAAGCAGCTCCGTACAAGATTATTCCAATGGAGTAAGCATCTGATTTGTGACCTAATGGGTGCTTATTCCGGTCGTAGTTGAATGAGTCAGGTAATGGATAGGTCGTGGGTAAGAGGTGAAGTAGCGCGGGTCACCAGTTGAGTGAAGTCTGCGGCGAGTTAGATAGTAAATACTCGCGCGTGTAAGCAACCTCGGTGTATCTAGCTCAAGAGTTGCCAGAAGCCGCGTGAGAGGTTGAGGAGCAACTCATCGCGTGATCGGAGCATGAAGCGTGAAGAGTTGATGAAATGATAGTGAAATCTGATGAGTAAGAAAACTGATCGGGAAAATGGAAGAATGCATTTCTCATTGTGAGTGAGCGAGAAATGAATTGTGAGATGGTGAAAGATACGTAGTGACCAGTGGTAGCCACTACCCGAATGCAGTGGCCGAGATAGAGAGAAATGGGGAATAAATGCAGAAAGTGTGCGTTGATCTGATGGTCTCAGATCGCGTATTCAGTCCCAGTGTGAGACTAAATAACTTGAAAAGGAAGGTCATGGTTGGAGCCTTAGTTCACAACGGAGCCCTCGTCCGAGCTTGCATACTCCTCGCCTGCATTCGCGTCGAGCTCGCCGGAGTCGCCAGAGTCTGAATTGGACGCCTCTGCAATGGAGCCCTGGTCGGAGCTGGTATGCTCATTGCCTGCATTCGAGTCGGGCTCACCAGAGTCACCCGAGATCGAGTTGGATGCCTCTGCGATAGAGCTAGTTTCTCCAGGGGTCTTGGAAATCCTACCTTGTGTGGTACCGTTGGATGACACGGGACCCGAAGAACTTCGAGAGCGTTTTGATGGAGGACCTTCGCTGTCACCGTCTAGGCCGTCATCTCTTAGGTGCTTGGAGGCGGCCCGGAGCAGCTGCTCGAGCTTGATAGGCTCCGGCTTCTTGTCGTCGTCATCATCTTCGTCCTTGGTCAGGTCAATCAACTCGCTCTGCGCTCGCGGCATCTCATCAGAGCTGCGACCAGAGATGGTTAGGGTACGGGCACTGCAAGAGCCTTTTCGGACGAATAGGCTTTCGGAGCTCGAGCCGTTGTCAAACATGTTACTCCGATTTTCATCGTCATCATCGGCGGTAAGATCGATGATGACTTGGACTGGAGCAGGCGATATCGTGGTGTTAAGGCCTGTGTCATCAGGGTCGTCATCGTCGTCAGACTCGGAGTCCGAACCCGAAACGGACGAATCACCAGAGTCAGAGTGAACCCCGGAGATGGATACCTGTGACTTCGCATCCGAGCTCGAAGATTTGCTTGAGTCTTCATTCTCGTCATCAGTGTCTGAGTCAGACACGTCAGATCCCGCGTCAGGGTATATGCCAAAATCGACATCTGGCATATCAACATCGGAGTTCGCGCTGCTCCCATGCTCACTCTGGTTGTCAAGATCCATTGCTCCACCGCCAGCACCGTTGTTCGGCTGGCCGGAGCCTCTGCGTGGGGAATCTGAGTTCTCGGAGTCATCATCATCGTCAGAGTCATCATCCCCGCCATCATCTTCGCCATCATTTCCGCCGTCGTCTCCGTCACCAGCGGGTTCATCTTCGTCAGACGAGAGGCCATCGTCCGAGCCGGCAGCCGTGACCCTACCAGAATATTCCGTTTCGGATATTTCCGAATCCGTGTCAGCATCGACGTCGTAGTTAGCCGGCTGCTCCTCATAGAACGAGAACGCCATCGCCAAGTCATCATCGCTAGGGTCGAACAGTTCAAGCCCAGTCAGCGGCAGTAGGTTCTCAAGCTGAGACAACAAAAACTCTCGTGGTTCCTTGGGTTGTGTCACCACACTGTTCACGTCTTTGAGGAAGCTCCAGTCACGTATGCTCTGTCGGTGCTCATCACTATGAGTGTTCTGGTAACGTAGCCACTTCATACCTCTCAGCTGATTGACATAATCAAGTCCGTGGACCGTTCGCATGCTTCGGAGTTTCCTGTAATTTGGTTGGATGTCAGTGTTTCTGCACATGCGTCCAAAGGTGTCAAGCGCCCTCTGGTCAAGTTGATCTCCAGGGTATTCCTCTTCATCGACGTAGTCCTTATACCAGTCTTCTTTAGCGTGAAGTTCGTAACGTCTTCTTACTCGCTTTTCAGCTGACTCCTCGATATGCACGAGCAAAGTTCTCAGTCGTCTGGTTTTGGTAAACCATACCAGAGGAGCTGTACGCTGTGAGATCTTTTGAGTCTCATTAGGCAATGGGCACTGTTCGTGCAACCTTGATGCTCGTGGTAGGATACTTCCATGCCACATGAGCTCGACATTCACGATTCTCTCAGCACGCGCCTTTCCAATACCGGTGAAGAACTTTCTAAGCTCACCCAGGCTCGAAAAGGCAAAAGTGTTCGCTCCATAGAAGGCATGAGAACCAATGAACAGCCACCGCTTGCATACCAGAAGAGGGCTGAGTACATGGTTAGGCTGAGGTGCACGTGGGATGAAACACGGCTTGGCGCCGAAGTGGAATCGATGAAGGTAGAGGTTTCCTAGCTGGCCGGCTGCTGGAAAGTCAACAGGTGGGTTGACTGGGTCGAGACGGGTAATGCAGTGTATCAATTTGGGTGTGACTAGCAACAACTTGAAGATTCTGATCTGGATGTCGTTGGGCAGTTTCTCAAACGGAAACGGTGCTGCTTCCAGCAGAGACTTGTGCAACGGCCGCAGGCGGGTACAGGTGAAGGGCGTATCCAGACTCTGCGTGATCAAGCTCTGCAGATTCCGCGAGCGATGAGGATGTTGTCCTGACCATGGATAGGCGTACCTATACTTGGCTGGGGAACAACTCCATCTCATGTATCGCGGATCGACTTCCTTCACCTCAATAGTGAGATCCGGATGGGTGGTGGTGATTCTCATACTCATGTTGGACTGCTGGCAACATTCGCGATTGATCCTTTCGTAGCTTTGATTGCTTCTGCCGTCAAGGAATTTGCGAAGCAGACGCGGCCAGATCTATCATGAGAAGTCAGCATACTCGAGGGATAAGCAAAACACGATTATTGGAAGAAAGCGAACTTACCTCAGGAGCAGGCTTTCCATTCTTCAGCCAGTCGATCTGATGTTCGAGATCCTCAATTGTGGCCTCGTGCCCACTAATGATGGCTCTCTGGCGCGTTACCTCTTCTTCCTTGATGGTGACCTCACTCCGGGCCAAGTCTCTCTCGGCCATTGCTACATCGCGGTCTCGACTGGTTTGGTTAAGATCAGCCACGTTGACGACTATGAAGCCATTTTTGTTGACATTCCCGCCATTATTTCCACCGTTGGGGTTGCCATTTTGACCATTGCCATGTTGATCGTCGTCGAAGTGGCCGAGGTCAATACTTAAAGAGTCGGTATCATCGTCATCGCCTGCCTGGTTGTGGACGCTGTGGACGCTTAAGATCTCGGTATCATCGTCATCGTCTGCATCGTCCAGTACGCTGTGGCCAACATCGGAGGAAGAGTCGTTGTCACCTTCAGAGAAGTCGTCTTCCTCGTCAGTTCTTTTATCATCTCCATTGTCTGACCAATGCTCGTCTGACTCATCGTCGCTGTCGCCTTCACCGTTGTTGATGTCCTGATTACCATTGCCATGGTTGCCAGGTCCCCCATTGCCTTGAGCGCCCTGGCCGCCATGGTTCTGGCCATCTCGGCCACCGTCGGCGTTGTTGTTAGGGTTATTTGGACCGTCATTGCCTAGGTTGCCAGGTGCCACATCGTCGTGAGCATCCGGACCACCATTGGCATTATGATCAGGCTTGCCCTGACCAGCACCGCCGGGATTGTTAGGGACAGCAGCTTCGGGAGCGCCCTGACTAACACCACCGAGATTGTTAGGGCCAGCATCTTCGGGAGCACCCTTGGGGGCGTTGTTGGGGTCTTCACGATCGTTGCCTTGAGTAGCATGGTCATCATGGTCATCCTCGCCGCTGTGGTTGCTGGGAGGAGACGACATGGTGAAGCTTCCAGTAAGGGGTCAGGTTAGATAGACTCAGTGGATGTACGTCACGGATACTTCGCCGATTTGCTAATAGGGTAAGACCTGAGCGGTGAAACTTGTCAATCATCCGATGCTTATAAGTAAAGGTATAGTGATCATCGATTGAATACTTACTGCTAACAGCTGGTATGTGTGTCGGCGAAGGCGAGGTAAGGATATCAGGTAAGTGTACTGCTTGGTCGCGGGTTAGTTCCAGACTGTCATAGTGGCTCGGGTGTAAGTATGATGAGAAAAGGCCGAACACAATTGAGTTGTGTGTAACTTGTGGAGGATTGCCTTGTATGAGGGGGGAAACCTGTGCACCGACTAGTCTTGTCGGGGGTGCACCTGCTCCAGTGAGTTAATGCTTCAGTTCCTTCCCGATACGGTAGTGATCATGATAGAATCGACGAAGTGTGGTGTGCAAGTTGAATTGAAGCTGACCTTGAAGGGCTGAGATGGAAGGGCTGAGATGGAAGGGCTGAGATGGAAGGGCTGAGATGGAAGGGCTGAGATGGAAGGACAGCGGCAGTGGCAGTATGAGGGTCGCAGGGGCAGGAAGGCGAGTATATGAAATCGCTTTTCCAACTCGACCGGAAGATGTCATAAATATGGGTTGGTCTGTCGATTGCGAAACGGGTAGTGATGAGAAAACCGAGGTATGTTTGTTTGTTTTGTATTTATCGTGGGTGCAGTCCCTCAACAGGGCAAACCACGCCTCCCAGAGCCATTGCATCGCAAGGTTATAGAGGTGTCAGTCTAGATACATTCAGATCCGCGCACGAGCCTATCCTCGTTGTAGCGGTACCAATCTGGAGTGACCAGATGGTTTTAGTCAATACCCAAGCACGATTCTGTCAGAAAAATCTCCTATCCAGTGACTAAGCGACCCAGTGAACCTCAGTACTCTGGTGTACACATCGTTCCAGTAGCCGTTCGATATATGTCGCATTGGTGGGTGAAATAGGTGTTTGTTATCTGCTGGCGAGGGAAACCACAAGGGGAAAAACCTCGCAGGAGTGGGTGTTGTGGAGACAAGCTGCTTGGCTATCGGGCTCTGCGATAAGGGGCCTCTCCACTGTCGTGTGCTGGTTGTCGACTCGCACAAGCCGGGTCAGAAGGGGGCCATAGCAGGATTCGAACCCACTTGTTCTCGTCGCCCACCGCACAAACGAGAACACAACCAGGCGCATTTGACCATTGCGCCATACGGCCAGAAAACCGAGGTAGTATGGTAGACAGCTCAGGGGGCCGGGCGGACCCAGGGGCATGAAGTGGGGGCGAGGATAATCAAGGGGGCGCATCAACATACGGATTCAGATTACCCTGGGTAGATTCAGAGGTAGATAGTCTGGCGGATGTGGTGCCAAGGTCTCGGGCTTGATGTGTGTGCATTGAAACCGGGCATGGGATATAAGAGGGTAAGGTTACCAGGGGAAACCCAGTGAAATCAGGCTTCCCGCCTTAGTGTTTGATGGAATGGAGGTTTTCAAGAGGAATCGCTAGAATGCTGGTGACGACGTCCTTGGGAGGTAGGGGCATCAAACTTACGAGATGGAGTGCGATAATGTGCGAGAATGTGGACGAGTAGAGATATGTGATCGGAAAGAGATCTGCATGCAAAAGACTGTGCGTGCTCAAAGTCCTGGCGGCAGACGGCGTTAGTATTTGAGAACAACCAGCCAGAAAAGGGCAAGATGCTAATGATGGGTAGATCAAGATTGGGGGAGTAAGAAGATGGGTGTAAGTGCAATTGACTTACGAAAAGGGCGGCAATGATATAAGTGTGGAGTGGAGATAGGGGGGAAGAGACGCGAGCTCAGAGATATCCGTGCACGCAAAGGCCGGGGGGGAGGAGGTGGTAAAGTGGGTAAGAGTTGCCTGAAGTGCAGAATCTGCCAGTCTGATACGTTGGGAAAGAGGTAGATGTGAAATGTAAGGAGAGAGAGAGGTGACTGGCGATGGAAATGAGTGAAGAGAGGAGGAGGGTGAATACCTATGCGAGGGCAAAAAGCAGGACTTCAAGCAACGGTCCAAGTCGGGAGAGATGGACAAGTGGTGAAGGTTGCACGCGGAAGCTGCGAGAGGGTCTCACTTAGGTTATGAGATATGTCCATAGGATCGTCTGCATCCGCGCAGTCAGTCAAGATGACTTCCAATCGTAATGGGATCCAGAGCTTGGAACAGGAGTCGAGGTGGTGGGTAGGTAGGTAGGGAGTGGGAGGACGATGGATGTTGGGTTGGGGTAAGATACCAGGGAGGTTGTGGTGGGGATCAGAAGCACGTCCGAAGCAAAAGGGGCAAGTACGTACCTACCTGTGGGTAGTAGCTGCCGAGTTGGTGATTGCCTCAATCCGTCAAGTTGCGGAGGAAGATGTCAATCGAGAGGATGCACCATGTTCAATGTGGCGGAGTGAGAGAAGTCCAATTGGGGAGTGACGAACTGATGAGATGGAGTGGGTGAATAGGAGGTATGTGCCCAGTAATCTAGATGGGAGGCATCTAAAGGGGGATTGTATCGAGTGCACTAAGCCAGGTAAAGGGTGAATAAGTATCCAGATAGATGGTTTTGGAGGTGGGGTTGAGAAGTTGAACTCCTCATGTGGTGTTGAAGATGGGAATGATATGTTTGCTGCGGTGTGGAGGTGCGGCAGTGGTTAGACTCGGCTTGGAGGACTTACAAGTAATAGGGGGGACGGTCGGCTACTCCTTGATAGGAGCACTTGCATAAGCAGATATGGTCAAAGATCACTTCAGGAGGCCCGACGGGGGAAGCAAGGAGTATAAGATGTTTGCACTGTGAATTTCCAAGTTTGAGTTACCTCCCTATATGGTTCCTACCTCTTCCTACCTACATGCATTCAATGGACTGCCGTTCGGCACAGGCATGGTCAGAACGAGCCCTGGCTCAACCACCTACTTGGAGATGACAATTGACCAGTCGAAGCACTTTGCAAGGGCACATCCATGAATGTATCATAACTTGAGCGTATACCTCACATTAGAAGTGTCTGTCTCAGGGCAGTCCATAGAACAGATAGGAAAGAACTTTGAAGCCTAGAGGTGATGGACGGTTGTCAGCCCTGGCCCCTTAACGGTGTGGGTCTGGGGAAGGACGGGACCTGGTTGGCCCATCGATCCAAACGCACGGGCCACCTCCTCAGCTCCTCAGCTCCTCAGCGCTCCTCGGCTCCTGCCACCTACCGAGTCCCGACTGAATCGCGCGCCGCTGTCGCAAATCAACCCTTCTGGTTCTCATCCCTTCACAACCATTCACAACACAAGGTACGTGCTATCCGACCTCGACCGACTTTTGCAATTGGCATGCTTTTGTTTGCTGGCTATCTGTTGACAGAGGATAAAACGCCAAGATGTCTCAAGACCAAGCTCCTCTCCCGTTCATCTACCAATTCGGCGCGGGTGCGTAGCCCCCACCCCAAGTCACCCAGTGGCCAGATAGACCGAGACTGACACGATAATCCAGGTGCGATCGCGGGTGTCTCTGAGGCAGGTGTTTCGAACCGGTGAACGGACGGACATACCAATGGCTAACCTGCGTGCTCCCTGTGTAGATCTTGACGATGTAAGCCATGTCTTGCTCCCGCTGCTCCCCGCTGTGTCGCGTGCCTCTACTGACCTTGACCAGGTACCCGTTGGATGTTGTGAAGACCCGAGTGTGAGCAACAATACGACCGAACACCGAGTGGCCACAACGAGCTTACCGCTACGATAGACAATTGCAGACTGGAACGGCGGTGGGACCGGACGCTTACAATGGCATGGTTGACTGCTTCCAGAAGATAGTCCGCAACGAGGGGTAGGGTTGCTGCTTGGCACGCGCTGAAGATCGAGGCTTATACTCGGGACCAGATTCTCGAGGCTATATCGTGGCATTACCGCCCCCATCATGATGGAGGCCCCGAAGCGCGCGACCAAGTTTGCTGCCAACGACGCATGGGGAAAGTTTTACCGCAAGGCGTTTGGTATTGACAAGATGAACCAATCGCTGTCCATTTTGACGGGTGCCACCGCCGGTGCCACGGAATCCTTCATCGTCGTGCCCTTCGAACTCGTCAAGATCCGACTCCAAGACAAGGCCTCGGCGGGCAAATACAACGGCATGATGGATGTTATTGGCAAGACGATCAAGAATGAGGGCATCCTGGCCATGTACAACGGTCTCGAGAGTACCATGTGGCGCCATGTTCTCTGGAACGCCGGCTACTTCGGCTGCATCTTCCAGGTGCGGGAGCTCCTTCCCAAGGCCAGCACGAAGAAGAGTCAAATCACCAACGACCTGATCTCCGGTTCCATCGGTGGCACCGTCGGTACCATCCTGAACACGCCGATGGACGTGGTCAAGTCGCGCATCCAGAACAGCCCCAAGGTTCGCGGTGCGGTACCCAAGTACAACTGGGCCTGGGGTGCCTGCGCGACAGTGATGAAGGAGGAGGGTTTCAGCGCCCTGTACAAGGGTTTCCTACCCAAGGTGCTGAGACTGGGACCTGGTGGCGGTATCCTGCTTGGTGAGTCTTCCTTTTGGAACTTCATTCTGTGTTGTCACTGACTAATGGCTGACTGGTGCAGTTGTCTTCACTGGTGTGATGGACTTCTTCCGTACCATGAGAGAAAAACAATGAACAAGTCACCATGAGTGGGTAAGAAGGCATGGCACGGCTTGTCCGTAGCTGGGATTTCTGGTTTCTGATACCTCTGCGTTGGCACGCGGTCTATACAATTCCTGTAGAAGGGGCGTCCATAGATCTGTACATAGCGGGGCATGGTTCTTGTATCTCCCACACCTAGACTATACGTAGACCAGTTTCCTGGCTTTTAGCCTGCGACATCCCCTTCCGCAGTGACGATGTCTTACAAGTCTTACAAGATCTGGACACTGTCTACTCATTGAATCGCCGTGTAATTTCTGGAGATGAGCGAGAGGACAACTGCCAAGAGCCGTATTACTGGCTAAGGAGAAGACCATGCGGCTCGACCAGAAATAGCAGGATTGCCTTCTCGGAACGGTCTCCTATTCGTGCCCGTGTTGAGCCTCACCGCCATTGCTTCTTCTCGGATGCAATTGCTGGGGAAGTTGTGGGGGTGCGCAATGCACATCAAATGGAGCCAGCTGCGGTTCCTGGAATTCGGGACCATCCCCGGACTGCTCCACACGGGCTCTTTATGCCGTGCATGTGCTTCGGATGCCATTTCAGACTTCATTGACTTCAGACTTGCTTCCAACATTGTCTTTCACGTAGGTGCTACTGAAGCTTCAATCCACCAATTGCAACCATCAAGATCGCGGGTTGAGCCATGTGGTTCAACCGAGACAACAAGGTTGAAAACTCCGTGCCCTTACGATTCGCCATGCTCTGAAAGGGGCGGCTGTGATTTGCCGGAGCTAGCTGACAGAGATGACTCGGCACATGCCACAGTTGGCCACTTCGGATGGGTTCCATTACAGGGTAAGCTAGGCGGGCGTCGTCGGCGTCGCGGGGTCGGCGCACGCACACAACCCTCAATTATGACACTCATGCCCTCCAAGCTCACTTCCCGGTCTCCCTATCTGCCCGTCGGTGTCTACTCTCTTTGACGACTTCCTCTCACACTCATTCGGACCTGATTGAATTGTTAAATACGACTCTCTACCTATCAACAACCCTAACTGAACTCTTCCTGAACCCTCCTTATCCCTTAACCGAACCAACCCGTTGTCCGTTACGTCCGGAGCTTATCTCCCTGCCTTGTACCATTGCGACACAATCCCCTTCGTCCCCTTTGCGCCCATTCTCCGACTCGACGACACCGAAGTCTACAATACCTACTCATCATCGTCACGTCAACTTCGTCGCATAGGCCAGTGGATCAGCTTCCTTTCCCCCTCTTTCCCGTCCAAACACTTCTTGTTGCACCTTTAAATAGGCCCTGGGCACGACACATCGTAGACTCAGAGCTAGGTCGCACTTCGAAGTGATTTGGACCGCGCCGCACCCTGCAACACACATGAGTCATCTACTCTGGAAGCACTACTGGGAAAACGATGTCGACAAATTCCGTCGACTGCTGGCCCCGGCCGGCTATACCCAGACTCTATCCAAGAGAGCAGCTGCAGGAGTAGGCAGCCCAGGTGCACTTGGAAGTTCGCCACGAGCCGTCGTGAAGTCGCGCAAGTCGTCCGGCTTCGGCGCAGGCTTTGGCGGGCCCAAGAATGCCGGTAACAACCTAGGGAAGGCCGAAGTCAATAGTCGCGATCACTCGGGTCTGACGATACTGCTCCGAGCCGCTTCGTCCACGTCATCGAACGCCGTCGATTTCGTCCAAGCCCTTCTCGACCACCCTGCGATCGATCTCTACGTTCAAGACCCTGAGAGTGGCTGGAATGCGCTTCACAGGGCGCTTTACAATGGGAACATCTCCATCGCTAGGGTGCTGCTCGGGAAGGAGCGCAGGGACTTGACTGAATCGCTGGCGGGAATTGCCATCGCAAGAGTCGGGCAGTTGATTAAGACGAAGGACCACGAGGGTAACAGTCCGTTTGACGTTTACAATGCCACCATTGCGCTTCGTTCTCTGAAAGTCTCCGAGGATGGTGCGAACTCGGATGATGAGGCGGAACCTGACGAAGGCGCGGGAAGTGATGACCTCCGGTAAGCTTGATAGCCCAGCCCGTGGTATTTCATTCAATGGCAATGAATGTGTTTGAGCTGCGCGTTGTCATAGTTGACGATTGTGAGGCTTATATCCTTGTCCGGTATTGAACCCAGACATCAAGTTTCCTCGTCCAGTGGTGTCTGTATGTGCTGCTGACATGTCGTCCAGGCATCACACCAAGTCTTCAGGCCTCGGCGAAGAAGTCTTCACCTTCGGGAGCAACAAGAACTTCTCACTTGGTCTTGGTGACGAAGACGATCGGCAATTTCCCGAGCGCATCTTCTTGAAACGACCTGACCACTTGGTACATTACTTCCATGACCAGTATCTCCAGGGACAGAGACGCCAGCCAGGAATGGGTGATTCAATCTCGCGCGACATCTGGGAGGTCCCCGCTTTGATACGGAATCGGCCCTTGATCATTCAAGATGTCGTGCTCTCTAAACTGCATAGCGCTATTCTCACCACCGACCCGATATCCAACCTGTACATATGTGGCATAGGGCGTGGCGGTCGCCTTGGTCTGGGGGACGAAAACACCAGATTCAGCTTCATGCCCGTCCAGGGTGGGCTGCTCGATAGGAAAGTGACACAGGTCGCACTTGGACAGAATCATTCCATGGCGATAACCAGTAGCGGAGAGCTGTGGACCTGGGGCTCGAATACATACTCACAATTGGGATTTGTATTGCCGGCTCCTCTCAAGCCTGACGAGGAGCCCATCAGTACTACGCCTCGGCAGGTGTTTGGACCATTGAAGAAGGAGATCGTGCTTGGAGCTGCCGCCTCTTCAATTCATTCGGTGGCCCATACCGGATCTTCCTTGTTCTGCTGGGGAAAGAACATCGGGCAACTCGCCTTGATGGATGCGGATTCGAGATCTCTAGAGGTCCAGACCAATCCCAGAAAGGTTGCTGCAGCGCGACTGCGGGTTCACTCGTCGATCATCATGGTATCTGCCATTGATAAAGCAACTTGCTGTCTTTTCGAGGATCGTGCTGTCTGTGTCTTTACCAGTTATGGGTATAACATGATCAGCTTCCCGTTCTCAGATGGGTTTACTACTTCCACTAGACGACTGTCTAGGCAGTTCTCCTCTTTCGCCCCGGATTATTTTAAGCGTCTGGAAAGAGTAAGTGGCCAGCCTCCCTCCAGAGGTCCAAACAAGCACCCGATGTTTCATGCAGCCTGTACTATTCTGATGGACAAGTTTGGCCATGCTCTCTTCACCAACTGATGATGAAGTGACTGACGTTTACGTGGTAGACTATTCATCAAATCACGTCAGGTGGAGACACAATAGCGGCAGTCACAGGAAGCGGAGATCTCTTCACGATGCAGCTAAACCATATTTCTGACGGCAACCACCTGTCTTCGACCACGAACCCAGCCAAGATCAAGGATGCGATAACTACGCCGAAATGCATCTGGAGCTCTGGGAAAGATGGCGTCAAATGTGCCAGTGTAGGAGAGAACGGTGCCGTCATCATCTCCACACAGTCGGGCGCTGTCTGGCGACGTGTCAAACGCACAAAGGCCAAAGACACCAAAACGCCTGGGATGTCAGATTCCAAGCGGAAAGACTTCAAGTTTCAGCGTGTTCCGTACATCACAGACGTAGTAGCGGTCAGTAGTTCGATATTCGGAGCATATGCCGCGGTCCGAAAGGACTGCGATGTTGCACGAGATCAGCTCGAAGTCGATGAGCCTACATTCTGGCAAGATTTGGCTCCCTTGCTCCCACTCCAGGATTTGAGGGCGCAGAACTCCAAGGCCAGAGAGAACAAGGACACCTGGAAATTTCAGAACCCAGATGTACTGAAAGGACGAGTCGACGACTTGGCTTTTGAAGTGTTGACGTCGACTAACCTCGAAGAGGATCTGGGGACCCATCTGAGGAATTGGAGTTTCGCTAACGAGGGTCTTGGTACGGCCATCCGTACGGCTTCCAATCCAGAGCTTGTGGTGCCGATTCACTCGTGGGTCCTGTCAGCAAGGAGTTCCCTGTTTTGCGCTGGACTACAGCGTTTCCGAGATACTGGAAACTACGAAGTCCCGGAACTCCTCACGATCAGTGAGGAGCAGGGCGTGATCGTCATCGAGCTCACTGGCAGTATTGATCTGATCACCTTATTGAACCTGGTCGTTTACATGTACACCGATCGTGTCATACCAGCCTGGAATTTCACTAGGCAGTCGCCACCATTGGCCTACCGGTATCGACAAATTCGCACAGAACTCATGAAGCTTGCTACACGTCTTGGCATGGCCAAACTCGAAGCTGCAGCACGGACTCAGAGCTCACCAGCCCGCTCCATGAATGAAGATTTTAGGAGGGCAATTGAAGACACTGCCTTCTTCGAGGATGGTGATGCACTCCTCGAACTAGATGGCGACGACATTCCAGTCCATAGTGCTCTCCTTTGCGAAAGATGTCCTTGGTTTCATGGTCTCTTCAATGGCCGTTCCGGTGGAAAGTGGTTGGAGAGTCGTCGCGCTGCACTAGAGGACTCTGATCGTGTCAACATTGACTTGCAACATATGGATCCAGAAGCATTCCACTATGTACTTCAGTACTTGTACGCGGATGTTGGCGAGGACCTCTTCGACACCGTAGTTGCTGACAGCATCGACGACTTTTCCGAGTTGGTCATGGATGTGCTGAGTATCGCAAATGAGCTCATGTTGGATCGGCTCTCGCAGATTTGCCAGAAGGTCATTGGACGCTTCGGTAAGTGTCCTTTATGATTCATCGGTAATCATGACTGACATGATCAGTGACTACTCGAAATATATCGACGCTCCTGAACCTCATCAGTCCGTGTGCTGTCACCGAGTTCAAGGATAAGGGGCTAGAGTACATCTGCCTCCAGATGGAGGCGATGCTTGAGAATCAGTGAGTGCACCTGCTCTATAATGTTTCATTCTTCGCCGATTTCCTGGGGCCGTCTTGCTGCGTGGTCCCGGCCTTGTATCTCAGTTATGTGATCGTTTTTTTCTCCTAATTCCATCGTGGAAATGCCAGCTGCACCGCCATGTGGTGCGGATGAGTGTGCGAAACGACGGTGCATTCATGCTGGCAGGTACCTGTCCTACCAAATGACGGGTCGCTACCTGTTTCATTGCGGATTGTTACTTTTCCTAAACATTCGGCGTTCTGCTAGTTACCGCCATACTTATTCCACACCACAAAGTCGAAGCTAATGATATTGGGCAGTTTGCTTGACGACCTCGATGAAGATCTGCTCGTCGAGCTTGACGAGATCGTCCGGGATAATCAGCTTGCTCGATGCCCCTTTGCTCGGAGTGGACGAGCCGAGCTTCTGCTTCATGAGCAGAATCCCGAACTAGCTCAGGATATCGACGAAGAAAGACACAGACGGGTCAAGGAAATGGCTTACAAGGCAAGTCAGAAGGACGACGACAGGAAGCTGTCATTCTCTTTCAAGACTCGCTTTGGTAGCTTTGACGACCTATCAGGTGCTTCCCCGACATCAGATAGAAACCGACGAAGATCCAAGCCGTCGCGCAACGAACCTTTCAGCCCAAACCTTCGGCCAAAAGACTCCCACGCGGTCCTCATCTTTGATATGGACGAAGAGGAGGAATCCAGTGTCGGCAGTCCCGTGTCGCCAAGCCCACAGCCACTGCCCTCTGGCGAGCAAAGGGATCTGGATCGACTCCCGCAACTGCCTGGACCTTGGCGAGGTTCGAAGGGTAAAGCCACCAACGACCACGACGCAGGTGTCTCGAGCCCTCCGATGATAGTGTCGAGTTCCAACAATACACCATCGAAGTCACCTGCTGACCCACCTGGAAGACGCGTTTCACAGGGTGGCAATCCATGGAGCTCCTCAGCTCTACCCACAACCCGCCTTGATCTCCGGGAGGTATTGTCAGAATCCAAGCCACCCCAATCGGCCTTGTCTGCTGGATTGGCAGCCGAAAAGAGAGATGCTGGTGCCAAAGCTGCACCCCAGAAGATGTCACAGAAAGAGAGAAAGAAGCACCTGCAACAACAAGCAGAGCGGGTTGCTCGACGAGACTCCAAGTCCCAGGAGATGTCACAGACGCCGTGGACCAAAATTAGCGAGAAGCAGGAGTCGCCATGGCAGAAGCCAGCCGCCGTCCCGACAGCATCGATGAAGGACATGTTACATCCCGAGTCAGCCTCCAGTCGAGGAGTACCTAATCCCAAGCCACTGGTTGCTGCCGAGACCTCTTCAAGCAGATCTATCCCCCGGCGGGCAGCTTCTCCTGACACAAGGTTCTCCGGTCAAAAATCCAATAGCACGCCTAAGGGGTCAGCCACCCCTGTCCGCTCGGATTCTCAGCCCATAGCCCCGCATTCGAAAACGTACATCAAGCGTGCGCCGAAGCCGGAGCAGGAGATAGGACTCGCTCTAGCCGACATAGTCGCACAACAAAAGCGCGAGCAGGAGAGCGTGAAAGAAGCAGTCGCGAAGCGCAGCCTACAGGAGATCCAGCAGGAACAGGCCTTCCAGGAGTGGTGGGATCAAGAAAGTCGCCGTATGCAGGAGGAGGAAGCGAAGCGGACTACGCGCGAAGAAGGCAAGGATAAGAAGAAAGAAGGTGGACGACGTGGCTGGAGCCACAAGCCGAAGGCGGGAAGTCATCGTGGGGGAGGTGGCAACAGTAGTGCCGGCGGTAGTAATAGCAACAGCACTGCGGAAGCTGCTACCACCAATTCACGAGGCAGGGGACGAGGTGGCAGAGGTGCCAAGGCACCATAGGCATAGATAGACCGCTTCGCATTTGGTAAAGACGGACGTCTCTCGGGAGCCGCATATATATGGAGTTTGGGCCGCTTGGGATGTATATAATCCAGTGGGCGGTACTAGGGCGATGGGCTGGGAGATTGTATATACGTGGGGAGTTGAATTGATGCTGGTATGCCGTGTTAATGCCTATGCGTGGATGTTGGTGTTTATATCTGCGCCCACTACGCAAGATCGGTTCTCTGTCTGTTGCGTGTGCCAAGTGATACGAGTCTATTGTCCCTGTGAGAACGCAAGTATTCGGCGTTTGCTTATAGTACGTCGGTAGTGAGTTGGATATGCAAAACGTGCAAGTGACGGTCTGGGCTTCGAGCAGCTTCGAGAAAGATCGTGGAACATCGTACGCGGAGGATGGAACGAAATGCTTGGGAATGAAAATCAGAGGACGATAGAGAGGTGGTCAAGTTTGATTTTCAAGGTGCTTTGTGTACAGCTCTGGCCACGACAATATTGCTTGGTTGGTTGGTTGGTTGGTAACGTTATGTAGTTAGCTCTCCTTCTCACTCTCGTGCACCAGAGCTTGATCAACATGATCCAAGGCTGTATCAGGACAGTGGGCAAGAAGCCCCGACAATCTAGGCCCACTGCTTGGTGGAATGATGACTGCAAATCAGCTGTTCAGACATACAGAGTCCTTTCCAAACAGACTACAAGTCAAGAAGGGCGGAATTCAGCCCGACGGTAATTTCGTCGCGTGGTTCGCAAAGCTAAGAGAGAGTACTGGCAGACTCTAATCAATTCAGCAACTGAGCCAAAGGACCTATACAGAATCGTCTCTTGGCACAAGTTATCAGCAGGACTGCGTTCCCCTCCAATCATCATAGGAGACCAAATATTCGAATCACAAGAGAGCAAGGCAAATGCACTACGCTCAGCCACGCTTGAACGAAGTACCTCAGACAATGATATCATCGACCCCTGGTCTGCTCAGATCATACAACCTAAGCCATACATCCCCCTTGAATACCATGTCGGACTGGAAGAGGCTGAAGGGTGCACTCTAGGAACCAAGAGCAACTCCCCGGGAGTAGACACCCTCACAGTACGGATTCTGAAAGCTTGCTGGCCAGTCATTGGTGAACATATCAGAGCCCTTTTCTAGACCTGCCTACAGATTGGACACCACCCTAAACCATTCAAAGCAGCTGAGGTGGTGATGATCCCAAAACCAGGAAAGAAAGACTACTCCAATCCCAGGGCCTACAGACCAATATCGCTGCTGTCATGTCTTGGCAAAGGCCTAGAACGACTCATCACAAAAAGAATTACCTGGTTTGTTGTTAAACTTGGAATTCTAGCTCCACAACATTTTGGAGCTCTACCAAAGCGCTCTGCCACTGACCTGGTAGCTGCACTTATACATGATATTGAGCAGGCCCTTGACCAAGGCCTCATTGCAACAACAGTCACGTCAGATGTGAAAGGGGCCTTTGATGCTGCCCTAAAGGGACGGCTGGTGGTTCGCATAAGAGAACAGGGCTGGCCAGGCTTTCTTATAAGATGGGTCCAGTCATTCATGTCCGAGCGGTCCGCAAGAGTTCGGTTTGAAAGTATTATGACCGATATAAAAGCTCTCACTTGTGGGCTACCACAAGGTTCACCTGCCTCTCCAATCCTTTATATGCTGTATACTGAGTCAATCTGTGCCCAACTTGGCATGAAAAGAAGACGCTTTGGATATACAGACGACCTAGCAACTCTCTGTATTAGAAAGAACCTTAAGGAAACAGCTACAGAGGCTTCTGGAAACCTTTATTTACTCAATCAATGGGGACATAATAATGCTATTGAATTTGACCCCGATAAAACCGAGATCATGCACTTCTCGCGGAAAAAGAACTCAAACAACCCTCCAGTCCGCTACGGGATAATGAACAAAATAACTAAGCATTCTATGCAATGGCTAAGTGTCCTTCTGGATAGAAAATTAAACTTTAAAGTTCATGTTTCTCACTAGGCCAAGAAAGCTAGTAGGGTAGCAAATTACCTTCGAGGACTATGCAACACAGTCAAGGGACTCCCAGTAAAATCAACCAGGAGGGCTGTGAAAGCTTGTGTTATTCCTATTCTTACACACGGCCTGGAGACCTGGTACCCAGGAATCGAGAAAATCAGGAGCTCAGGTGAGACATCAGCATGTCGCATTAAGGGGCTTCTTGGGACAATAGATGCTGTACTACGAACGGCGATCAGGGCTATCTTGTCAGTCTGGAAAACACACCCTGGATATATCCTATACTTTGAATCGCAGATTCCCCCAGCAGGAGTTCTTACAGAATCAATAAGACGACGTCACGGCCTCCGACTAGGACGAATAGACCAGAGACACCCTCTTGTTGGCAGGCTCCAAATACAAGCTCGCAAGAATTCAACAAGGCTACAAAGAAGCTTCCAGCTAGTCCCTGACTTCCAGAGACCAACACTTACCAGGCCATTATGAAAGAAGCCCCCAATCCGTAAAAACAAAAACAAAGAAACGGAGCTCTTCAAGCAATGACTACAAGAGAGAAACATGAACACTGACCTTGTCATCTACTCAGATAGATCACAATTGGTTGACCAAGGTACAACCCGCACTGGATGGGGTTACACCATCAGGAAAGACAACACTACTCAAGAAGTATACCGGGGAAAGGGTAGACTTCTGCAAGCAGAAGTAATAGATGCTGAAGTCTATGGTGCTCTCCAAGGTCTTGCAGCAGCCAGGGCAATTGGACACGGAAAACAGCTATATGTCTGCCTGGACAACACATCAGTGGTGGATGGGCTCAATGGGACTCTACCCGAGACATCACAGAACATTTTTCTATGATTCCTAGAACTTGCCACGGCACACACTCCTGGAGTGACCGTCAAGTAGATTCTTGGACACAGAGATATTGTGGCAACGAAGCTGTCAACACACTAGTAAAAGAGGGTGCCATGATAGAAACAGACACAACAAACCTTCCCACAATCTCATGGATCAAGAGAGATCTCAAAAAAAAGGGCAAGAAAGAGTTCAACTAATTATAGAAAGACCAATCAGAACCTAAATATCAAGAAGTATACTCACATATAGTAACTAAAAAAGACCTTATATCTTTTAAGAGGAGTACTTTACACAGACTTCTAGCGGCCAGATCTGGACATGGCGACTTTGCCAGATACCATGAATACTTTGGACATACAGACTCGAATGATCACTGCAGCTGTGGTGAGAAGAAAACACTACAACACATTTTCTTTTGTAAGAGGCTGGGGAAAAACTGGCTACTGTCCAGGTACTCGCCTAGGGCAGCTTGTTTACAATACTTAAGGGAGAGGAGCACAGAATGGGCAAAATTCGTGGAGAAGAGCAAGTTCTTTTCAACAATCTGTCCCCGATAGATAGCTTTTCTTAAAGAACCAGATGGATAACCCCAAGGTCATACCGCCGCAACAACGGGGATGGGCCCGTGAGCGGGACTGACTGTACTTATTATCTTGAGACCTCCACAACCCTGCGATGCAGAGGCTCTGGGAGGCGTGGTTTGCACTACTGAGGAGCTACCCCCCACGTTAAATACAAAACAAACAAACAAACTCTCGTGCACAAACAAAATTGGTGCGAATTCACGGCAGGTCTCGAGACTGTGTAGCAACAGACTTGTTCTATATGTATCTCCCGTGGTAGCATAGCTGATGTTGATGTTTTTTAGTTGGTGGTGTTTCTTGCTTGGTATGACTGAAAGTCGCTTTCCGGAACCGGCAGTGGTGATAGTCATATGGTCATGATCGTACAACATCATCTCCATGTTCCAACCTGTCGGGACAACACCCCACACCCCAATCACCCGGTACATCGTGACGACCTGGGTACCTTTGTTCCACTCGTGGGAGAGGGTGGACCTGTTAATTTGAAGGGGCACTGTATACCCTTTCCGTCTCGTCGTCGGTCAGCTGGCGAAGTAAAGTCGTTATAAAGCCGAAGCCATCACGTAGCGGTATCAGCTACCTTATCTGATTAAGAGCATTTAACCGATCCCAGTGAAGCGGCGTGTACTTATTTCACCTATGATTAGACCACCCTGTGCGAGTGGGTGATGACAGCCAGCTCTGAAGCCTGTATTTGGTACTGGACGGAAGTCCGTCACGCCGACAAGGTGAGTTGAAACTAATAAAATTTGAAATTAAGTTCCTGGCCAGGAATAGCTGAAATGACTGGAATCAAAGAAACAAACAAACAATAAAGAAACCTATGGACCATCCCTACTTCCCCGACGCCAACCCTCCCACACCCCGCCCCCCCACCGTCACACATCATTCCCCATAGCCAACTGGATGACAAACATCACGGTCCTCGAATGCCAGACACCAATCGGCCATCTAGCGGCCGAGAAGACACTGCTTGTCCTGCTCCTCCAGTTGTGGCAGTTGTGCCTCCTATTTCTCACCCTTCTTCCCTGGCTTTTGCTCTCCTGTGCTCCCTCCCGCTTGCTCTCCTCCCTGGTTTTCAGCATATCGCCCTTTTAGCTCATCCAGTCGTTTGCCCGCGCCCCTCACAGTCTCTGGCTGTCGTCAGTATGGGACATGGCGCCAACGGGAAACGACGGTGTCTTGCTCACTCTTTGTTTTGTGGGCGTTCCTTTGAAGGTCCTTCAGCTCCTTCTTCAGGTCTGGCATCGTGGCGTGAGGTTTGCGGTCGTTGTTCTCGGAGTTCGACACGGTGGTCTAGTCGTTTGGGAAGTGAGCTTTGGAGTATTGTCAGATGGGTGGGCGGAAGTCGTGTCGATACTGCTGAGGGTGGACTATTCTTCTCGGTGAACATCTGCTGCTATTTGTACACAGCTGGACCAGACTCACCTCGATCATGTTGGTGTCCATCTTCCTTTGTCCTCCGTTTCGAAACGTCCAACTGATCGTGCTATGAGCAGGATCGAAGTCGCCCAACGAGGTAGATGGACAGATTTTGTTGGTGACATACGCGTGCTGTGGTCATGAGGTGGCCGGATGCGAACATGAGGACTTCACGGCTTGATGGGCGTTACAAGATGCAGTCGCCGACTCGATGAAACAAAGCAGGAAGGGGGTATCATGAGACCTCACGGACCCTCGAAGTTGTATAACTTACACGTTGTACACGCGCTCTTGATTGGTCACCCGATACATCAAGTGCGTTGTCATGTTGCACCTTCTCAACAGACACTCTCGTCAGTTAGGGTGAAGTTGGATATAATTGTCCCCCGCTTATCAAATTAATGTCCATGTACTCACGGCTCACAAGTCTCCGTCCGGCATACCTCAACATATTCTTGGGTCTTACTGGTATGTCCAGGTTGCTGGAATAAACGCCCTGGCATAATCAGCTTTGACCCAATAACACACTTCCAACGCTTATTGCAGACTGCTCGTTCCGGTCATAAACGACACACGACTTCACTGCTCGAAGAGCGGCGTACGGGGACTTTTGAGGGCTCGGTGTAACCTACTCGTCGGGTTTCCCATTCGTTTCCAACACATTTTTTCCACCCAACGCTAGGTCAACACCATACCAGTCCGGCCCAGACGGAGAACAACATGCTCCATTATTACTCCTTTCCTTGCCCTCAGACCACAACCATTATGATTAAGAACCGAAACCGTCGCAGACATGCAAACAGCACTATCACGGCGTTGTTCCACGGCCCCTGGCCAGCTCGTCCAACCTCTCGTCATTCTCAGCGATCTCCCGCTCCAGCCGCTCTTCTTTGTCCCGGATCTGCTCTTCGTGCTCGCGTTTCCTTTCTTCCCATCTCTCTGCTTCTGTGGTTAGCCCGTCGCCTGTCGTACGGATATCTAGTTGTGATGACTGGTAAGGAGGGGTGTGTACTCGAGAACTCGTGAGAAGTGGAAGTGGAAATCGGGGTAGGTCACCTCTCTCCTCATCCGTCTGCGCCTCATTGATCATCTTCTCGCACATGTCGATCTGGTGCTCCTGGATGGCGATGCTGGTCTGGAGATCTTGGATGGAGGATGCCATGGTTCTTTAGGTTCGAATAGATCGTGGATTCCGTTCGTTTTATATGTACCCCTTTGGTCGGTGTTCGATCTCCAACACGTTCGTCTGGTCCATGTTGACAGGCCGTTTTGTTGGTGGTTGACGGGCTTGACTCCGACGAGCAACACCCCTGCCGAAGCCGATGAAGACCCTCGCTGGCAACGAAAGACAGGGGAAGGCCGGCCGTGGTGTTACAGGCAGTTCTGGTCATTCGATGCCCAACTGAATGCGTGTTCGGCTGCTGAGATGGTCTTCTTGCGCAGATGAACTCGATGAAGACTGTCAGCGCCACCGACTGACGGCGCTTTAGTGAGCGGCAAAAGAGTGAAGAAAAATGAAAAAACTCAGCCCAATATCAGCATTGTCATCGTTATCCCCGGCAGGCAGACTTGCGTTATCGGAACGGCTGCGCAGTCCACCAGGTGCGCCATTTTTCTTGTCGTCCCAGCTGATAGGCTGTCATTTTCTTTTTCTGACCCGAACCAGGTTACCTGGCTGGTTTTGCCCGTCGTGCGAATCAGTGTCGCTCGTCGTCCGATACGGACCCTGCTGACCGCTGTCACATGGTGTCAGCAATACTAAGGGAAATTGGGCTGCAGAGTCGTACCATGGATCTCGTGACGGTTGGTGCCTGCGGATAACCGGTGAGACGCGGTGTGCAGTCCGCAGCCAATCGGCAGTGATTGCCATCGGGGGCTGATAACGACGTGCTTATCCTGAGTTATCAAGAATACCTTGGATTGATATGAGGATCTTCGATCTTCCCAGTAACAGTTTCGGTTCAACTATCACGGAACTGGGGTTTGCTGATAAACTCCAATAGGTCAAAGTGCGAACCACAAAACCATGAACATCTGGGCTTGGCTGCCTGCCTGAACTTCAGAGATGGCCGGTGGATGAGGCGGCTCATAGCCATCCATCGCACGCGCAGACATGTTCATGCAGCGCGTGCGGCTCTAATCTGATATGTTCGTGTCCTGCTTGGGTTCCAAGCAGCACTTGAGTCTTATACCAGGCTCTTTTACTCCACTGAGAGACCCAACTCAACTGCGCCGATGCTGCAAGAAAAGGAGAGTCCCCGTGCTCAACACAGAGCCTAATGAGTTCCGACAATCATTTCATAGTTACATGCACGTAGACTGCTACTCGCTGAAGAGTAAGCTGCTCTCGAGGCGAAAATAAGAACCCATGACTCGGAGTCACTGATACGCTTCCGAAATGTCTTTCCTGATGCAGATTACTGGAATTGGGCATTGACTACAACACTGTGCCCTTCTATTCGGAAGGCTTCATTCAGATAAAGAGCGGTGATTGGGAAAGGGTTATTTCTGCCAAGAAGTACTTACATCGAGCCGCAGACTTCTCAGAAATGCTCTTCATACCGATTCGCACTTTGTCATATACCAGTAGACCAGTACCTAGCGAGAGACTTCTACATATTGACAGAGGCATCTCGCTACCATCACTACAAAGAAAGAGAACCGACAGCATGACGCCCACCCCGGCGCTTACCCTCTTCGGCAGCTTACCACCCGAGGTCATCCAGGAGATCATGAAGCAGCTCAACCTGGAGAGCCTCACCCGGCTAACGATGACATCCCGCCATTTCCTGGCCGTCTTCAAGGACGCGGAGGGCGTCATCCTCCACGGCATCCTCGCGCGCGACATCGGTCCTGCCGTCATGCCAGCCGCCATGATCCGGTACGCCGCGTCGCAACCAAGCCTCAGAGCCGGCGTCCTCGCGAAGATCCCAACCGACGACGACCGCCCCGCAAGCTACACCCTCTGGCAGGGCGATTGGGACAACACGCGGTGGCTGGACCTGCGGAGATACCACACGAGGACATACAGTCTGAAGCAGTGTCTCACGTTCCACACCGCCAGGGCGATTCGGCGTTTCCACGAACTCGTGTACGACAGACTCGATGACGTAGAGTTTGCACCTTCACGCCCCAGCGGCGTATTCGGTGATGAGGAAATGACGCGTATGAAGATTTCGATGTACCTGGACGGCGAGGCTGATGTTTGGGGACGACGGGGACTGGGTGGTGGTCAGGGAAAGGGACACCAACTGTGGCGTATGACGGACGAAATGATCGACTCTCGTCCCCCTTTTCAGATTTTCCAAAGGTTTTGATGAGACGAGCTGATGCGCGGTTCCGTTAAACTGCTCGCTACACCTTTGGTGCTGGGTTTGTGATGCTATTCAGGATTTGCTGCACAATGCATGAAATCCCTACCTTAAGATATCACATAGCTGAATCTGTTGAGCAGGGTCACTGGTGGATAGTCATTGGAGTGCAAAGCTGAAACACATGTATTAACATTAAGGAGAGTATATGGGTGAGTCATGCGGCATCTGTTGCCCGCAACTAGGAGATGCTGATTAGTTCGCTGATTGAAACAGCTGTAGTGACCATAATCGTGATCCGGGAATATATCCCACAAACCCCCCTTTTTCCAACCCCCTTTTCTCTAATTCCCATTCCAAATTTCAAAATTTCCATGGCCACGCTTAGAAGACGAGAGCCATAACAGTGGCTCCAAGACCCATCAGGATAGAGACGGGGATAGCCAGCATGGAAGATCCGGCAGTGGCGATAGGCGAGTTCGTCGCAGCGGTGCCGTTCTTGGATGCAGTCGCGGCGCGGCTCAGGCTGGTGCTGTAGCCTGCGGCGTAGCCGCCAGCGCCGTAGCCGTAGCCGCCACCAGAGCCGTAGCCGGGCGCGCCTGAGGCGGTGAGCAGATCAGTCGCGCTGACAGCATCGGCGGACGAGGTGCCGTAGACGGCAGTAGGGTAGCTGTCGCCTGATCCAGAGCCGGAGCCAGTGCCAGCAGGGGCAGTTCCAGTTGCGCTGGGAGCAGAGACAGCATCGGTGGCCGAGGCGCCGAAGGTGCCGGTAGGGGAGCTGTTACCAGATCCGCTGCCAGAGCCGCTGCCAGATCCACCAACAGAGCCGGAGCCAGATCCACCGACAGAGCCAGAGCCGGATCCGCCAACAGAGCCAGAGCCGGAGCCGGAGCCGGAGCCGTGGCCAGAGCCAGTACCAGCAGAGCCAGTTGCGGTAGAACCAGGAGCGGTGACGGCGCCAGTCGCTGAAGCGCCGATCGTAGGAGACACACCACCAGTTGCGCCAGCACCACCACCGACACCACCGGTAGCACCAGCACCACCGCCGACACCGCCGGCAGCACCGCCTCCGAGAGATCCAGTTGCACCAGCACCACCAGCACCACCGCCGACACCGCCTCCCAGGGAACCGCCGGCACCACCGCCGACACCACCGCCGACACCACCGCCGACACCACCGCCGAGGCCGCCGGTAGCACCGCCTCCAATGCCGCCGGCACCTGCGCCAGATCCACCAGCACCTCCAGTCACAGCGCCGGTAGCAGAAGCACCAGCGGTCACGGGCACAGCGCCGGTAGCAGATGCACCAGCGCCGCCCTTGACAGCCCCCGTAGCTGAGATACCGGCAGCAATTGTTCCGGTAGCGCCGGGGCCGAGGTTGGCACCGAGCGAGATGGTCGCCTCGGCATTGCCCTTGTTGACACAGTTGCCGTCACCAAAGGCGCCGATGCCGGCCTTGAAAGAGCCGCCAATGCCAGCGATGAGGGTGGCGAAGCCGTCGAGGTCGGCGCTGCCAGAGAGGTGGAACTCGCCGGCGTCGAAGCCGACGTCGAGGCTACCGGAGATGCCGATCATGGCCTCGATGAAGGCTGCGGACGCGGCCTTGATGTCGGCGATGGCGTCGATGGCGATGCCACAGCAGCCGATCTCGACGACGACCCCCTTCTTGGCGATGAGGGAGCCGATGAGCGTGCCGCAGTGGGCCTTGAAAGCCGAGAACTGCACCTGGAGGGAGATGTAGTCGGTGAGCGAGAGCGAGCCCGCGGCCTTGCAGGACGCGGTGGCGCCTTGCAGGGTCGTGATCAGAGAGCCGATGGCGTCGACGGTGACGCTGAGGTCGGCGCCAGCGTGCAGGCCCAGGACGGCACTGTTGCAGCTGGAGAATTTCGTGTTGCAGCTGCCGAGTGCGCTGCCGACGACGCTGACACCGCCTGAGGCGCCGCCAGAGATGCCGCTGGAGAGACCGCCGCCGATGCTGCCACCGAGGATGCCGCCGAGGATGCCATTTCGCTTGTCCACAGATGAGGGATGAGCGCTTGCGCCGAGTGCGAGTGTAAGGATAAGAATGATTCCCTGAGAAGTGAGCTTCATGGTGACGATTTGGCGAACGAGTGTGTTGAGACGGTTGTCAAGTTGAGTATTATAGATAAACGACAGTGCTTGCTAAAGAGTTGAACCAGTCAAAATTGTAGTAGACACGGAACGAGTGTCTGAGAGAGATCAAAGGAAGAAAGGGTGATGAAGGGGAATGAGAAGAATGATGCTGAATTGATGGTCGAGAGAAAGGGAATTGATGAGGCGGTTCTGGCATCTTTACTTATACATGCCGTCGATGGGCAGACATATCGTCGACGGGCAGCCGCCACCTGAACTCCCCTGAGCCAGACCTGATGTTGCGGTTAGCTCGGTCAGGGTATTGCCATGTTGTTGGACTTTAGTGTGGTGTTTTGTCGCGGCGCCGAACTTCGAAGCCTACTAGATGCGACACCCCGGATTGTTTCAGGAGATGACCTGATCGTATATGCCGAGCCAGGCGCGCCGTCTCTCTACTACCTGCGCTGACTTTCCGTTTCGGGACAGCGACTAGACAGGTACTGTCCTGCTCATTTCGGTAGGCAGACCGTCACGGACAAGCGTTGATGCGCCGGCTCTTAGGAGCGGCGCTATCGTTCATGATGAAGCGCCGGCGCGTCCGTATTCGGTGGCCGAGCGCTCACGTTAGTTGCGGCTTCCGCATGCGTCGATATGCTCTTGGTCTGCGACGGGGCGCAGCCAGCAGGCTAACCACGTGGTTCCCCTATTTGATACAGACCCTGAGGGGGCATGCATAGGCTAGACCTACGACCACAGAGCAGTTTGGTGAGAGTTGCAATTTCACGGAGTGATAATCCGATCTAGCTGCTCCGCTTGGCACGTCTGCTACTCCTCTAAGGGCTCACTCCTCAATAAGCTTATTCCGAACGTCTGACGGCCTCTTCGGGGTGATCCAGCCTTCCCTGTGCCTGACGATCGCATCCACACGCCAGGTCTGGAAGAAATCTCCGGTTTTCTGTTCGAGCCACGTGTCGTGGCGAAGTCCCTCGAAACATATGGTCCTATATTGACGTGATATCGAACTTCATGCGGACTGGAGTATACGACACGTAGTCTCATGCATGGGAGCTGGGGGATACGACGGGAGCTGGAGGAAAACATGGGCGACGAGGATGGACGATACCCTCAGTCCGAGTAGTCGGCTTGCGAGAAGGCAACGCTGGATGGCCTTTCCTCTAGAGCAAAGCGCGTGTCGATCTCACCCTGCAAGTCGAGGGATCAGTCTAGAACTAGGACGTAGCTTGCAGGTTCTGTTTACACTACCTGGCGCGAACAGCAAACCGAAGCAGCCGCCGTTCGCAGCTAGGTGGTAGCTGTAGTCCCCAAGAGGCGTCCAGGGTTTGTTGATCTTCGGCACTTGCCAACAGCAGCATGGTGACGGTCCTTCTGGTGATCGTGGAGGCTGATCATCAGGGGTAGAAAAGAGGATCGTCGTCGCCAGATGCGGCCCATGCGGCAGATGTTGCGTTGGGCGAGGAACTACTGCAGAAGAACCCGGGTCTGGCCTGCTCGTGCACCCAGGTGGTTACCGCCTGGTTTTGGGTTGTAGTGTATGTAGACTCGACGGAACTGTCGTGCAGCTTGGTCCCTTTCCATGGGCAGAGCTCGTGTCACCCCTGGACGCACAGATCCAAGGGTCCTCTATTCCGACGCCTTTCCTTCGAGTCAACGGGTCTTGTAGAACGATTGCAGAATGACTTGGGATACGACACTAATTCAGAGTCTGAAGATCCTCTCGACCATTACATCGTTTGTTCCTCGACCTATCTCGTATAACCCCACAAACCCTAGCCGACTCATCACCGTCGACGCAACTAAGCTCACAAGCCGGTGACCGCCTCCGGGCTCACAACGACCAGAGTCACCTTGGTCCATGGACGATCGGGGTCATAGGCTGGAAGATTGCGTCAGTATAGAGTTTAGAGCGTGCAGTGCAAACGGCACGTTCCTCACCTGTATTCCCTTCCGGCGTGTAGCGGAAGTCGTATATGCCATTGAAGGGCCTCACGCCAATGTTGCCTCCCTCCGCCAGGGTGTCCAGGGACTTCAAAGCCAGCTCGATCTGCACGGCATCCGTATCGGGATTGCAGCCGTAGACCGGCTCGAAGACGGCGCGAGGGTCTCCTCGCTCAGTCATGAACATCTTGGTCGTGTTGTCCTTGACCTCGTACTAAAGTAAACCTAATCAGCACTCAGATGCCGGTGGAGGGAATCGCTACTCTTTCCCATTGAGGGATAGAGCGGACTTTTACCTCTCCGTTGATGACTGCGCGACGCGGCGGGTCCCAGGGCAGCGTGAGGACGCCATCGACAAGCGTGAGTGCGCTCGTCGAGTTGCCGGACGGACTGACAAACAGGTGCTGGTCGCCGCCGCCCCAGTCCCAGATATTCAGGTAGTGGTTATGGACCACCGGCAACGATGCGTTTTGGACCTGGACGGCAAATCCCTCTGTGATGTTGTTCGAGAGCGTATCGCTCGGAATGTCGCATGCCCTAGTGGCAGCGATGGCCGAGGCAAGCAACAAGGTGGCTGGCTTCAGCATCTTGAAGTGTTGTGTTCTTGGACAGTATGTGATCTGCTCAGCAAGCACGACGAGCGAGATATGGTCACCTTGTGGTCGGTCAGCTCGTGCGGGGATGTAAGCCTATGGGTGTTGATCTCGAAGTTTCTCAATCCCCACGACAGGAGGAAGGGGAGGACAATTGCAGAGAAAGACACCGGGTGTCGTGGCTCCGTATTCATCAATTATATGAGTGAACATTAGAGGTCACTCTTCGAGCACTCCATCGTGTTGCAGCGTCTCATCTGAGAAATATGTGCATATGCACAGAGAGAGCAATATAGAATGTCCCTCGCTGTAGCTGGAACTTGAAGGGGGCCCGGGGAATGTCGTATTGTTGGCGCTCGCCAAGACGTTATACGAGATCGTGCATATTCCAACATGGCGCGATGCTACCAACAGCGAGGATTGAACAGCTGCGGAATGCAGCCTGCTTACTGCAGTTCGCGAGCCGAGCACCTTGACTGGCCAGACAGTCCCAGATGCACGCATGACGTACTGCCGAGTAGGTGGACCTCCGTACCGATTGAGTCGCTGACATGGTCGACGCATCATTTATCCGCATTTTGTACCGATATTGTCAGCGGTCGAGTGGTACCAACTGCAATGCTGATGACGGTGTGCCTACCGGGATGTTGATCCTCAGGTCGGTCTGATCCTCGCAAGTCGATCTCCTTTAGTCTCCAAGAATGAGTCGGGACACTTCTTTATGGACCCAATCGTACCTGGGAACACGAGCCCAATGTATCGACACCACACAGAATGACCAGTAGGAAATGTTACATATCCACCAGATTCTGCCGACGGAAGATGCAAGAGAGTGATAGGCAAGCGCAAATGGTGAATGCTGTAGCCGGTGAGATACAAGCAAGACACGCGGATATACCGGATATTCCATGCGTCGCTATCTTGGATATGTGACTGGAACTGCCCAAGTCTCTGGATCGAGCATCTCCGCAGGCGCTTGATGTGACGATGGAAATGCTAAGAAGCGGTGAATGGGCACGATCTGGCCATTGTCTCATTTAGAGGCGCTACAAAAGCAGGAGCAAGCCTAACTCACACACCGACTGCGAAGTCAGCATAAAGGCTGTGCTTATTCCCGATGTGACGGAGGGAGACGCGAGAGTGCATGCGGAGTTTAGCAGCTCCCAGAATGGGAGATATTGCCCCCTGAGCCCTCCCCAAGGGCCAAAACCTGAGCAGACCGAGACTGATCCTACTCTCACAGAGTCAGTGTCGACATCCTCGCTATGGTCACCATCCACACCCCAATGCCCATAGCTCGTGGCGCTGGTGCGCGACTCGCAGTTCAAGGTCTTGTTCGATCGGTTCGATGGCCGAACCATCTATCTGTCGTCCTCGGGGCGCCAGCCTAGGCCGAAAGAGAGATACGGTTTCATGAAGGCGCAACCAGGCGCAGTGGCTTCGGCGCCTCCCAAGTATAAGGCGCGCTGGACTTCATGCCGCCCGAGGTGCTCAACACCGCCAGCGAGTGGCGAGTCAACCCGTCGATCAATGACACGGGGTATCTGGCGAGGTTATCGTGTACATGCTGACTAATCGAGCGAATCTCAGCGAAACGCAACTGCTACATTACTGGGCCAGTCGCCTCCTGCTTCCTTAGCAGAACCTGGGCAGGCGTGGGCTGACATGACCGGTTTTGGTAGTTGTCGTGGCGCTGATGCAGGCCAAACCTGTCCAGCAATGTACGGTGAGACAGGTGCCGGGTATCCGTGGCTGGGCGAATCTGGACCCAGAACGTCGCGATGATATTTGGTGTTTTGACATAGGTGAGGGGTAATGAGGAGCGGAAGCGTGTATCTGGTACGATTGATCAGTCTGAACGCTCTATCACCACGAAAAAGATCGTCAGCATCGATCGGGACGGATCCCAGAACGAGGTTTGTATTGGTTTCTCTATCGAGAAGATATCCCAGCATTTGGTAGACTCTGTCATGGTGGAATGCGTTAGATTGATAGTTCTGTCTGGTGTCTAGGTATGGCCCTTTGTGGCAGATCAAGGTGTCTGCCAATGTGGCAGTGTCTGTGGCTGTGGCTATGTCTGTGGCTTAGCCAACATGGCGCCACCATGGGGGCATGGGCCCCAGAGCCTAACACGCGGTCATCGGGAGAATATACAGAGCCGGAGATACGTGTGTCTCCAGAGTTTAAATTGGGGTCATTGGTGATGTTATAAAAAGAAGATCCGTGCCTCATGAGAGCTGAATAATACAGCACCCGCGTTATGGCAGGGGACGGGGACCGATACGATGCCACAGTGGAAACTCAATACCCCTTTGCACCAGGACGATGGTCGAGAACAAGTAACATCCGAGAGTAAGAGCCTGATACTCAAAGACAGGACCTTATGACCAGAAGCTAGAGAGCACCATCTCTAGTTATTCCTATGACTACTAGCAACGAGGATAAGCAGGGTTCCGACCAACTCAACGGATATCAACATATTGGTTAAGTTAACGTCAATATTAACACCAACTCAATTTACAAAAACCTCTATAGCCTTAGCAACTAATTTAACGACGAAGCCATCGTAAGTTGATATTAACGTAAATATCGTTAATTTATAGTAAAGCGCCGCCTCAGTGTTAGTAATACTATAAAATTGTAACAATAACACTACTAGGTAGCTAATAATGGCGTGTATTTAGCTAGCGGGGCTTTTTTAGAAGAAATAAAGTTTTACCAATAACTTTACGAATTTTAAAGTTAAAATTATAAAGAAGATATCATGAGATTTGTTATCGTTTTCTAGTTATTTTTGTTTTAAGTTTTATTTGATTTTACAGTATATATACTAACGTAGATGACAAGCGAGCGGCAATTACAAGCAAACGGCAACTTTTCACCAGCCACCTAACCTTTCAATCAAGGCTCCTAATTGATCAACCAACAATAATGGCATTACGTTATAGCGAATTAGACTTACAGCTTGTTGTCCAAGCTAAGCGACGCGACCCTTATATTATCATTGGCAAGCTTTCTAAGACTTTATATGTCCCATATAATACCTTAAAGGCTAGAATCACCGGCCAACCATCACGACGCGATAGCATACCTAATACTTTGAAACTTACGGTTGCCAAAGAGAATGCCATTCTTTTCTTCATTCTTGACCTGGATGCGCGAGCATTTCCACCCTGGCACAGTTATGTTGAAGATATAGGAATTAATTGTTGGCAGCGCATTGGGATGGACGCGTTGGAAAGAACTGGACGCGGAACTTCATTAAACGCACACCAGGCCTTTGGACGCGTTTTCATTGGAGGATGGACTACCAGAGGGTCTTGAACAAAGATCCAGACGCGTATCGCACATAGTTTCGTCAAATTGTGGCAGCAATCGCAAAACATGGTATCCAAGATACGGATATTTATAACTTCGACAAGACTGGGTTTATGTGGGCATTATTGGGTCCGGCATGGTCGTTATAAGTGCCAAAAGACGTGGTAGGCCTAGACAAGCTCAATAAGGCAACAAGGAATGGTCTACAGCAATTTCTGCTGTCAATGCTGATGGTTGGGTGGACCCGCCGCTCACTATTCTACAGGGCAAAACACACCTCGCGTCATGGTATCGCGACACGACATTACCACGCGATTGGAAGGTGGCTGTGTCCGATAACGGTTGGACTACGAACAAGATTGGGTTAGAATGGATTCGGCATTTCGACAAGTATTGTCACGGCGAGCGTACTGAGGAGCTGGGACATGGCCGGCAGCAAGCAGCTATTACTCTATTGACGAGAATATCAAGACTAGAGAGGAAAGGAAGAGAGAGAGAGAGATAGGTACAGTGGGAGGTTGCCCCTTTAAGGGGATCCTCTGGTCAGATCCTTCCCCTATTGGGAGGTATCCACTTGTCATGTGGGAAGGTCTGTGCAGGCCGCCACAGCCGTCACAATGCACTTCTCACGGAAAAAGAACTCAGACAATCCTCCGGTCCACCACGGGACAATAAACAGAACAGCAAAGAACTCTATGCGATGGCTGGGTGTCTTCCTGGATAGAAAACTGAACTTCAAAGATCACGTTTCCTACTGGGCCAAGAAAGCTAGTAGGGTAGCAAACCACCTTCAAGAACTATGCAACACAGTCAAGGGACTCCCAGTAAAGTCAACCAAGAGGGCTGTGAAAACTTGTGTTATTCCTATTCTTACACATGGCCTGGAGGCCTGGTACCTAGGAATGGAAAAAATTGGGAGCTTAGGTGGGACATCAGCTTGTCGCATTAAAGGGCTTCTTAGAACGATAGATGCTGTACTACGAACGGCAATCAGAGCTATCTTGCCAGTCTGGAAAACACACCCTGGACAGGCCGTATGGCGCAATGGTCAAATGCGCCTGGTTGTGTTCTCGTTTGTGCGGTGGGCGACGAGAACAAGTGGGTTCGAATCCTGCTATGGCCCCCTTTCTGACCCGGCTTGTGCGAGTCGATAACCAGCACACGACAGTGGAGAGGCCCCATTTTATCGCAGAGCCCGATAGCCAAGCAGCTTGTCTCCATAATACCCGCTCCTGCGAGGTTTTCCCCCTTGTGGTTTCCCTTGCCAGCAGATAACAAACACCTACTCCACCCACCAATGCGACATATATCGAACGGCTACTAGAACGATATGTACACCAGAGAACTGAGGTTCACTGGGTCGCTTTGTCACTAGATAGGAGGTTTTTCTGACGGAATCGTGCTTGGGTATTGACTAAAACCATCTGAACACTCCAGATTGGTACCGCTACAGCGAGGATAGGCTCATGCGCGGATCTGAATGTATCTAATTTGACACCTCTACAACCTTGCGATGCAATGGCTCTGGGAGGCGTGGTCTGCACTACTGAGGAGCTACCCCCCACGTTAAATACAAAACAAACAAACAAACAAACAAACAAACAAACAAACAATCGAAATAATTTAGAAAACCAATATTACTCGCTCGAAACTTATACATTATTTAAATAAATTTATTTTCAAGATTATAACGTAAAAAGTTAAGTGGTATCATTTTTTTGTTCATTTTATTATCAATACCGAAAATAAAAAAACTCCCGTATATATCAACCCACGACAATGTTAATTTCCGGAGATAGGACCTCTCGTTGTTGCACTCAACTTAACTTAGCGACGACGAGGTCGTGGACAGTGTCAACTCAACTCAACGAAAACCCTTCGTTGACGTAGATTGAGTTGGTCGGAACCCTGAGGACATGACTATACGGTGTAGTTCACACCACTACCGCAATGCGGCCCCAACGGCTTCACTTCTCGCGGGTGGCGTCACTTAGGGGAAAAAGACATGATACTCGACAACGACAGCCATGTGAAAAGCGCAAGCCACTGGCGAGCGCCATTATTACGCGTGGTCAAGAAACATATTCAATATCCGGCTCTGTTCTAGACAGAGGGTTCTATGCAAATACACCACTATACTAGTCCTCACTGCACTCTGTAGTACCTCGTACCACCCGGCATCGTGGCTGTAGCCTCAAGATCATCAGCCTCATCCATCCAGTCGTCGTACTGCCTCGCAGTCCCCCGGCTGGTGAAGTCGACCTCATCCCAAATGCCTTCACAATTACCTGGCATAGTCTGCGGAGATACTAGCTCTTCCCCACGAGCGGCCTCAAGGTTATCGAGCTGTCCGAGTAAGTCTTCGGCACCGGAACATCGACGTTCTGTCGTGGGCTCGGGCTCTGAGGACTCGGAGTCGCTGGACTGTATATCGTCGATGGGGTGGACTATTTCTTTCCCGTGGATGGAGCAGCCGAATCCGGGGTCGTAACCGATTGTTGAAGAACTTACCTTCGTATCCTCTGCGTCAGGAGTGGTTGCGGTATCTAGTACCAGAGACGGTGGTGGGCCGCTGCGACGGCCTGCGAAACTTGGAATATCAAGGTCCTCTTTCAGGGTTGTCCAACCGCCGTTGTTGACACTTACCTTCAACTCAATGTGGCTAAGAGTGGTCTTCATTTCCTGTGTACCCTCCGTGGTGAATGTGTGATGTAAGTCAATTACACGTCTCGCAAACTTCAGGAAAGGGGATTTCTGAACCAGTCAACTGCCTTGCTGTATCTCCAGAGCTCTGGGACAAGTTGAATTTATATTGCATCATTTGATCTATCCCCACAATGGTCATTGTGCTCGCCTTTGTCGGCCAGATCTTGTAAAGGCACAATGTGCGTATTTGCTATTTCCTTTGTTCTTGTGCGCAGGGCTGGATTGCTTCCCTGAAATGAACAATCGAGACCGTTAGACTTTGTTTATACCACTACTGATTCACGAGGCCGACGATCAAAGGACTGGTACAAGTCTCAAGGCTTTTACTCAAAGTGCAACTGCAGCGGAAAATAGTAGTATTATAGTATCAATACACACGATGGTCACTGCCGAGCCTTTGCTCGACAGATGGCTGCATCCCAGAAGAATTGAACACTTTAGTGTAACTCCAGAAGCAGATGCATCGCCCATTCCGTTAGACAGCGTAACGAACAGGTACCTTGCGTCGTCCCACAGGCGGCAGCGACAGATTAGAAAGAGAAGTCGTCTCTCCATTCCCACCTCAAGAGCCACATCCGTTACGCGCGAGAGAAACTTGGCTGACCTGAGCCTCTTCGCACTGCCCTTCTGCACAGACGGCGAGCTCGGCCCGTGGTGATTCCACTGAGTCACACCTCCAGGTTTGATCAGATCGCCGAGCAGCTGTTGGGCCGCCGAAACCTGATGTTGGATCTGCGTGCATAGGTGTCAGTGTTTGTCATCAGCCAACTATAGGGGCGCACGAGGCCTACCTGGGATGCAGCAGAACTATACTGTGCCAGTCCACCGGGGTTGACATTCTCGTAGTGCGCGAGGAAGCCCGTCTCCGCAAAGTCCTCGATGTAGTTCGTCTTCCCGTAGTCAGATACGATGGCCGCATCTTGGGCCACGGCGTCGTGCCATATGCTGCTGTCGCTAAGGCTCCCACTGGGGTTGGAAAAGCCGTCGAGGCTGTGCGTGATCTCGTGGGCCATTACCATGCCCCACCCCCTAACGGGACACACCCCCCACCGGGACAGCCAAACCCCACCATCACCACCAAAATACCCCCTTACTCACTTACACGCAATTGAGGCTGTAGATGCCCAAAGAAATCAACAAAATTATCATTCTGTGGTGTTGAGGCTCCTCAATCCATGTATCTAGCTGGCGCCCTAATTGACCGACCGCTTCTCGTCACCTGGGGCTCTGCAACAGGGGCTTCTTTACCTTCCTCAGCCTCCTCAACCTCTTCCTCCTCCTCACCCTTATCTTCAATAACCTCTGGCTCTGCTTCTGACTCTGAAGACTCTATAACCACGGCCCTTAACGAGTCACCCCCCTGGGCCAATATCTCGGTCATATTCATGAACTTCCGGTTTGGATTTGGGACCTTCTTTCTCTTCTTGGGCTGTAGCCGCTCTAGTTCAGCCTCCAGGGCCATGATCTTATGATCTTTTAGGGCCAGCTCCGTCTCCTGGTTCTCAAAGGCGTGGGAGATCTTCCTGAATTTCAGCCGAGTGGCTGGGGAGCGGTTCTTTGTGAAATCTATGATCTGTCGGCTTGTGGTAGGGGTCAGCTAGTCTTCTGGCTCCGAGTCTTTAATTTCTTCTGGCTCCGGGGTCTTTCTTTTATCCTCCTGGATTTCCGGGTGTTTCAAACACTTCCTGCGGCTAACTGGGTAGCACCCCGTCACTCGGAAGCCCGAGAGGATGTTTGGCTTAGAAAAAACCTTGTCCCTAGCCTGAGAATAACAGCGGATGAAGTTGATCTTATCCACAGACGAGGCATCTGTGAGAGAATTTAACTGCGAAAGAAATCTCTGGTAGTAGGCTTTGAGCGCGTTATATGGTCCGTTATCTAGTGGTCGCATGCCGTGGCTGGTATGGGCTGGGAAAAAACAAAGCAAGATGTTGGCAAAATAACACCACAACATGAACTCGTCCTGTTAGTTATACAGTTATTTAACTGATTAAATAACCCCTGAAAAATAAATAACGTACGGAAGTATGGCTACCATGGCCATCTAGTATCAAAAGGATCGGCTCTGCCTGGTCTTCCCCTTGTACAGCATCCACCTGGGGTAGGAAAACGTGGTCTAACGATAGGCACGCAATCTCGTTACTGGTCCAGCCGTTATCTGACGTTATGTAGTACCAACCCGCGATTTTACAGAATTCTTTGATGAACCATTGGGCCTGGAGATCTTTTCCTTTGAAAATTATGCCTGGTTTGAGAACTTTTCCCATGGCTGAGATGGCTTCGATAAAGGAGGTCCAGCCACGCCCCTGGAGACTCTTTAGGAAGGCTTTCGTAGTCTCAGAACTTCCTAAGACTAGGGAATCGATGCCTATAGGGGTTAGTTAGTTAACTGACAGGATAGGGGTGAATAACGGGTTAAAAGACTAACCAAAACCCGACATGATGCCGCCCTTATCGACATTATACATATTTTCTGGCTTCACCTATTGATAATCCCCTAATATGTCAAAGAACCAGTTGACAGACTTAGGGGTGAACCCCTTAAACCGAGCGGATTCCATCCGCTTACCGATTTTAGTCTGGATGGTAGGGTTACAGCGTTTATAGCCCTCCATATAATTCGGGCCCAGTGATGCGAAATCCCCCCCTTTTTCAGCAGTTGTACAATAATCTCCCGCACGGCTATGTGAGAAGGGGCAAGCCCTAGGGACTCCTGGCGCAATATCCATTGAGCCACCTTACTCTCTTGTTGAGGGGAGAGTCTCTGCTTGCTAATCTGGGCCTCGGCTCGGGTGACTCTGCCGTTGATGCGTGCTGACAGCGTTTACTTAGGGATGCCGTGTTTTTGGGCGGCTTTTCTCACAGACATGCCGTTATCTGTCACATCTAGCCAGGCATCCGCCACATTATCTTCAGTGTACGTGGGCGGAGGCATCGTGGCTGGCTTCACGATACTGTGGTGGCATAAGGGTCAGGGGCTCAGAGAGAGAATTCTACAGCAAATTTGCATTTAGGGGCGGGGCACAGAGGCTCCTAATCACCGATGCCGATGGCTGAAACTTTACTAATCTATATCCGGCTAAACACCAAGAAAAGGGCTATCTAACCATCTAAAGAGCGTATAGATAGCCTCAAAGGGGGCTGTAATCCGTGTAAGTGAGGTGGGGGACTTTTGGTGGTGGTTGTGGGGTTTGGCTGTCCCGGTGGGGGGTGTGTCCCGTTAGGGGGTGGGGGATGGTATATACAGGTTCAATTGTGAATCGTCGAAAACCGAGATGCCGGCGAGTGTCATGCCCGCCCACTTGCCGTCGAGCAGGCCCGGAATGATTACGAGGTGCTTGACGTAGTTCCGCATGCCGAGCGGCAGCTTGCTGAATAACTGTAGCCACGTCGTGTAAGCATATGCGCGTGCAAGAGGGGCCTGTGTGACAGTCTATCTTATGCCGTACCTCGATGATCTTGTGCTTCTGAATGGAAGCCTGCTGGTGCCGGCAAAACGTCCACTTCTCACTGCAGTCTTCCAGCTGGACATCGAAGGCCTCCATGTCATCGCCATTGAAGCCGTAGTTGGCCGCTTCCGTCTGGAAGGCCTCCGGGATGGTACTGCTTGACCAGGTCGACGACGAGTTCGCAACGGTCTTTGTGGCCGTCAGCTCACTCTCCAGCTTAGCGGCAATGCTCAGCCTGTCCAGGGACGGACCGAGAGCAGGCTTGCTGAGGGCATCTTCGCAAACCACGCCGCTGATGAGTGCCGCTGAGGCTAGGAGCAAGAGGGCGTTGAACAGCATCGTGAGAATGGGGCGGAGAGAATATATACGGACACTGTTTCGAAATCGTCTACGAGGGCTGATTCGTGTGGTATATTCTAAGTGACGCTAGGAACGATTGTATGTGGTTTGGTGGAAAAAATCTTCGCGAGATTCCAGTGCGAAGATTCGTCTTCATATAAGGCTCTCGTGAGTTATCGGTACGAAGGTTTCGCTGGTGCTATATTAAACGTTGAAGTTAATGGAAAAAACGAACAAAGTTCAACTATAAGCCACCAAAAAAAAAAGCACCATCGTTTACTTGCTCAAAGGTGCGGCAAAGCCTAAATTAATTCCATATCATCGATACTATCTTGATCTGCTAGGTTAAAAACACGAAGTCGCTGACCAAAATTGTCGCACCCGCACACTCTTTATAACAGTCGGGCCACGATATCATCGTGGGATGCACCCCATTCAACAGAGTGACCTAAGTAGTAAAACGGCGCAGTGTGCTCCTCCATCCTAACCTCCTCATTCCTTCTTCGTTGGTCCATGCCACAATGCTGAGGAGGGATTACATTGCACCAGGCTCCAGCGGCCAGCTGCTCATGTCCCATTAGGACTGAAAGAACCTAGCTTTGTAAGGCGATGAAGCTGCGGATCAGGCTGATTTGTCGATATAAAGTTGTTGCAGGAGTCTCACCAGCGACTGTCTAAACGGTTCCCGATATTCGTACAGTAGCGTGCATCCTTCGTGTTCCCCTATGCCGTTGCCGGCACATCCCTCCTAATAAAGATGACGTATGCACAATCGTCCCACAGCAATCGAGGGGCTCTTGCGCCGCGGAAGAATGAGTGTTTTGATCATGTACATCCCGCACGTTCTTGTTTCAGGCTCCGTATCGTCCAAGCGGCGAGGTGTCTGCCTGGATCCTTCCCGCCTGAACTCCTTCTCATGCAGGTACACCCGACAAGCGCGTCGGTTAACACGGGAAGGATTCGGTCAGCCAGCCGGCTTCCTCTAAGCCACTGCAGCTCGCGTGTTATTGCTTCAACCTCACTCAACGAGATACCGACGTCTCCGGCCGCTCACGCAGAGGAGAACACTGCAATTGCTGTCAGCGCTGGGGTTGCAACTAATGACCACGACACGTATGACAAGTCTGCAGAAAATGGCAGTAGAGAACTGCTCACCAGACTTGAAAAGCTGCAGCCGAAGTAGGATCGAGTCTGGGGATCGCGACGGCAGCACAACTTCCGACACGGGTTTCTTAGGATTACAAGGAATGACAAGAAGAATAAGCGACCCCTGATGCTTTTGGCTCATGGCTACCTCCTAACGGAAGGAAAATTGGCGAGATGATTGACTGGATGTCATCATAGCACAGCATCACTTTCGGAAGCGAAGAATCACGCCCCAACAGCTCCGGAAAGAAGGAGCATTCCTCCATACGGCGCAGTCTCTCCTGGACCGAGGAAGCGGCACAGGGGCCAGACAGGAGGCCAGGGTCCCAGATCTTGTCAGCATAGAGAAGGAACTGGATAGGTGCCCAGTGAGTCTCAGGTCGTGGGCTCGAACCAGCGCTTGATCTGATATTCGAGGCCTTTTAAACTGGGATAGAGTCTGGAGTCTGGCGTACGAGGCGCGCTTGCAACTCAAAATCCAAAGACATGCTGATAACGTTATCCTCAAAGACGTGGTCCGCTTGACTACCCGATCGAGCTGGACCAGTCTTCGGAGCGCAAGGTGCTCTGGATCGACCAAGCGCTGAAGTGCAGGTGGCCACGATCCTATCTCGTGGGTTTACTCTCCATGCGATGCGCTACGTTAGGGAAGAACACGGGATTTTCCGCTTCGACCGCTGTCTCATCGTTCTCCTCACTGCCTTAGCTCATAACTAGGACTCGACGATCTTGAGGCACAGCACTGTCGTGCTTCTAGTCACTCACTCATTGCTTCTCGCCTGGGAATCTAACCTGTGTGAACATGAAATGTATTCGGTCTAACTTGGCAATAGCTTCGCATCTTACCGCGCAATCCGTTGAGATCATTGCCCATCATCATTTGACGTCATAGGGTCTCTCTAGAACAGCTGCCAATCTTCCTGGCCAAAACCTCAATGTTCGGCCCAAATTGATCTCAATTGGCGCTGTTCCTTGACGAAAGGAGTCTCTCTAGAGGTTGCTGCGCTACAGCGTCCGAACTCATATCCCGATGCGTCAGACTGGTATTTCTCACCAGTAGTAACTTCTGGAGAGATGACAGCATTTGTATTCGGTAATTGAGATGTCCAAAGTCCAGACGGCTTAGGAGAGAGCGTTGTGTCGCAACGACTGACATTGGCATTCAAATTTTCAGATTTCATCGCCGCCGCTAAGCTGCATGATATGTCGGCGAGGGAGGTGAGACGGCGCATGCGGACTAGACATATATGACAAATGTCGCCATCCTGTCCGGCCTTCGAGTATCGTATCTGCGTGGACCGGCAGCAGGGAGGCAAGTCCACGGTGGTCCAGATGCGCTCACTGGTGATTATCTGCAGGAACATGTTCGTTGCTCAGGGTATTAGGACGGCATCTCTCATATCCCATGTCAGCTTAACAGGTGCGTTCTACTATTGGGCTTCCGCTATGAAATGAACGCACGCAACCTTGTTCTATGATATGATGGGCAGCTGTGCTTATCTAAAGACATGCAGAGCTGACCTTGCGAGGCTGGCACTCGTGCATGGGTCGGCGTGGTGTCGCCGGTGTACGGTCTGCATGAACCATCGGTAGACAGCCAGCAACGGTGGTCACAGCAGGAGCTGGCGCACCAGTCATCATTTGATAGCCTTAAATTGTCGTTGGCCCTTTAAGGGAGATATCAGCAGGGAGGGAACCTCCAATAATCACTGCCTTGCCCGGAGCTTCGAGCGAAGCTCGCATTTCGTGGCGAACCGCGCATCGCAGATTGTAGATGCACCCACGATCCTTCCCAGCACCTCAGTCGGAGTGAAGCCGGAGCCGACTAATGCTCCGATGCATGTCGCGGTAGTTGTACTGTCATTCGACCGACAGTCTGATTTTACTCAGCTTATGACGACCGTTCAAGATGTAATGGGTTATACGTCATAGGGGGCTATTTTGGAACGGCCTGGGCAGAAAGGTAGGCACTGAGTGAGCATAGGGCTTCGTACACGAGGCTACAGCTGTGCTTTCAGGGGTAGCTTCAACTGGTGCATGCCATAGTGGTCAAGCCCTATAGGCTACAGCTCGAGCTTGTTTGTTTGCCGTCGCATGGTAGCTATCAGGAGGGGAAAGGCAAGGTTCGTGCATGAAGGATTTGTATTGCCGGCATCCAATTCGTTCTAGCCAACAACGCCTCCGTCGTGCGCCAAGTGACAGGCGCACTGGAACGTCGCCTACAGTCTACAGGTCGCCATCTTGCAGGTGGACATGTGAGGTTCAAAACACTCGCCATATTCCAAATCGGACGCTTACTTTATCTAACGCTTACTTCGCAAACACCCGCCGACTAAGCTTTCTTCCTATTGTCGAGCATACGATTTCATTTCGGGGACATACTCGGCTGTTGCCAAGCGAGATCCCAGTCCCATCACACCGGATTGCGCTTGTCTCAACCCCACGCCGGATACGACGCCATATAACGTTACTGCGGCTCTGACAGGCACCGGTACTGAGGTACCGTACAAACCACACCAAAGCTTGATAAACAACGAAGAAGCGCCAAGACAAAATCTGGTCCCTTTGCCAAATTCCGCCGGTCAAACTTCACCGATGATGTGACATTCGCCTACTTGACTCAACAGCCGGCAACATTGTCATGACAGAGATCAGCACTGTGAAGACGAGGCATCTTATGAGCAAGGAAATGAGTATATTAACACGTCACGGTGCCTCATTTTGAAGCAAAGGGAAATCACTAGGACATCGAGACAATTCTTGACTCTGAGTTCCCATCTTCTCCAAAGGTTTCTCTGCCTCAATTCTCCATATCAGCTCCGTACCAGGAACATCTGTCAAAATGAAGGTCACCTCCAGCTTGGCCTCGCTCCTTGCCTTGGCAGGGGTTGCATCTGCCAACCCTACCATGCAACCCCGCCACCACAAGAACCACAGTCTCCCAAAGACCATGATTGCTGGCGTCGAAGTCATCGACACCCAGATCGTCCGTGATGCCCAGGCCCTTATTAAGGACTTCGTCCCGTACCTCTACTACCACCAGATGCGGTCGTGGCTGTTCGGAGTCGCCGGGATCAACGCGAATGAGACGCTCAAGGGCCAGATCGACCTCGAGGTCCACGCCGTCGGCACACTGCTGCACGACCTGGGTTGGGACATGACGCCCGGCTCTCCCTACGTCAGCAACGACAAGCGCTTCGAGGTCGACGGCGCCCTCCACGCGCGCGACTTTATCCTGAACCATCCGGACGCCAAGAACTGGGACAAGGCCCGTATCGCGCTCGTCTACGACGGCATCCTGCTGCACAACTCGGCCGGCCTGGCCCCGTGGAAGGAGCCGGACGTCTCGTACATCGTCACGAGCATCGGGCTCGACTACCAGGGACCCAACGGCACTCTCATCACGCCCGAGGTCTACGCCGGCATCGCCGAGGTGTTCCCCCAGACCGAGCTGCTGTCCGGCACCAACGAGACCTTCACGTGGATATGCCAGTTCAAGCCCAACGTCACATATGGTGAGTCATCTGCGCGCGGGCTCAAGCAGCGCGAAGTGCGGATCTTCAGGGTTACTAACCTCGCTTGACAGACACCTCGCTCCAGCCCTACGGCGAGAACTATGTCCCGGGCTACAACGCTTCCGGCCACCGTGGGTTCGACACCGTCATCACCCGCCTCAAGGAAGAGCAGGCCGCCGCGGCTGCCCACAAGCTGAGGGGGTACTAAACAATCTGAACTCGAGCGTTTGATAAAGGTGGTTCTCCTTCGGGGTGGTAATGTCACTGCTAGAGGGGTGGGGTCGCCGAAGAAGGGGGAGGCTGGCCTTGGAAGACTGGAAGTCGAAACTGCATATGAGCACCAAAATGATCAACGGTTAGGATATGAGCTTTCCATTATTAATCAAACATGATGATCATCAGTGCACACTCACTGGCGTACGTTACCCTCGCTCCAGTAGACTCCATGTTGCCATCTGACAGTCCACCCCCACCCCGCTCGCCCATTGGATACCCGTGAACTCAATGGCATGCGAGTGCTATCATGCAGCCACCGTCATCGCTATATTGAGCTTCAACGAAAGCAAGTCAATCCCGGTCTAGGAACACCTGGTTCCGTTGCTGCGCAGAGTTTAGTCCGATGCTGGAAGTCCAAAGTCATTGGCTCGGATGAAAAGTTTCTCGTCGTTCGAGTCGACGTTAAATACTAGAAGGTGGCGGCGGAAGATAAGACACCCTCCGAATGAAAAGGAAGAGCGCCTCTCAGCAGGCCACACGGTTCCTTGTGTCTCCGTTTAGGCGCAGGGATTAACACCCCATCGTACAGTTACGCTTCGCCAGAGGAGGTGCTCTGCTCGGGTAGTACGGCGCTTACTTCTCTCAAGTCGCAACATTCCCATGGCGTCTCTCGCCTGCGCTCTGAACGATGAGAATCGAAACTCGACGGCGCGTCTTTGCTCCGTCTCGGACAGAACAACGGACTTTCTTCGACATGTCCCTGAAGTTCCGGGAGCATGTCAAAAGACGGGCAGCCATGGGCCTCGTCGTGACCAGACACATTCGAAGTCTCGCGAACACTGCCAGAGGGCCCCCAGCAGCAGCCCTCCAGAAGGCGGTAACTGCATGCATGGTTCCTACTATGACCTATGGGGAAGAGGTCTGGGGGACTGGGGACTTCAAGAGAGCGGGGAAACGGTCAGGCCCGCGACATGAGCACCCGCCAGAACGGCGATAAGGACGACCTCAAAAGAGTCCTTACAGAGACTATTAGAGGAATTCTCCCGGTCTGGAAAACCACACCAAAAAAAGTACTCTTCAAAGAATCAGGCCTACCAACAGTACAAACCATATTTAGCAAGATCCGGATGCGGTTTAGCCTAAGAATCAGAGCCATGGACACCATACATCCGTTAGTTCGATGTGCTACAGCCCAGAACCCTACTGTGAGCAGAGGCCTGAGGGGTCTGGTCAGGACAACCGCAAGGACACGGCTCCAAAGGACATATAAACTCACACCGGATTTCCTAAGATCGATCTTAACAGAACAAAGATATATACAGGACGCTAACAAAGCTATTATAATAAGAAGCAAAGCCAAGGAAGCCAAAGTCTTCACTGACTGGCTGAAATCGCTACCGCCTTCACATGTAGTCACTTATTCTGATGGCTCGAAATCCCTGGGGGGGGCGTTGGGCTATGGATACGTGATCTATAAAAGCCGGACAAATATAGCCTCGGGTTGTGGCAGACTAGGCCACGCAGCAGAGGTCTTTGACGGTGAGGCCGAAGGGGCCAGGCACGCACTCAGGCGGGCCCTGAGGCTCAGTAGTGGTGCTCCTATCCACGTGTGCCTAGACAATACAGCAGTGATCTCCGGACTGCGGAGGAACCAGTTCCGAGCTTCCAAGAAGCTTTCCTCTAATTTCACAAAATTTCGGACATGTACGCCGACATACAGGTCCAGTAGGTGCCAGGGCATATGGACATCTAAGGCAACGAAGAGACCGACGTAAAGGCAAAAGAAGGTATTACCTTGCTAATCCCTACCAGGGCCAAACCTATGCTTACAGGCATCCTAAGCCTTCTCAACAAAAAGATTCCTAAAAAATACCAGCAATAGTGGGACAAGAACATCACCAATAAATACAAACACGCCCCAACCAAACAAAAACAACTATTTTTCTTGGCGCCCCGCTGTTAGGGCGCAACCTCGATATCTGCACTAAAGCAGGCACTTCTCTCAATAACTGACTATCTTTGCCAAGACACAAGAGAATTTTTCTCACAAGCCGGATGGCACCATTCCATGACGGGCCCCCAAACAAGCCCATGGCCGTCCCAAAGACGACCACCGGCGGCATGCTCAAATCCCCGGCCCCAAGAAAGACATACAGCCTGGCAACTCCAAGCAGGCTTTGCCAGGCGCTGCTTGATACCCACTCCTGCGAGGTTTTTCCCCTTGTGGTTTCCCTCGCCAGCAGATAACAAACACCTATTTCACCCACCAATGCGACATATATCGAACGGCTACTGGAACGATGTGTACACCAGAGGACTGAGGTTCACTGGGTCGCTTAGTCACTGGACAGGAGGTTTTTCTGACGGAATCGTGCTTGGGTATTGACTAAAACCATCTGGTCATTCCAGGTTGGTACCGCTACAGCGAGGATAGGCTCGTGTGCGGATCTGAATGTATCTAGACTGACACCTCTACAACCTTGCGATACAATGGCTCTGGGAGGCGTGGTTTGCCCTGTTGAGGGACTGCACCCACGATAAATACAATCATCATCATCATCATGCTTGACGACATCAGCAGCAGCCCGTCACAGGTCTCTGAGGCTGACTTCACCGTTATTTCCCCTCTGAAAAGAAAATCCTGAAATATTAATGACAGCAGTACCATTTTAATGAAACGACCTCAATTGAACAAAATCTCTACAGACCAAGCCATTGCACGCGATGCAGGGAATAAAGCCTCCTCCTCAGAGTACCAGAACCAAGTTGCCAAAATACTGACTAAAGACAAGCATCTCTATGAAGCCAGGATAACAATGTTTCAAGAGTGTGCTACAGCAGTTGATAAGACACTTGAGAAAGCTGGAACCAAACTATACTCTCATACCAAGGAGTCCAGCGCTTTCTTCTCTAAATGCCTGAACGAGTGGCTGGAAACCCGAGATCCGCCCAAAAGGAAGACCATTCCTGGGGGGATAGGGATGTGTTGGATAACAGGGGTCATGAAGATGAGCCGAGTCCGACCGGAGAAACCACGGTACGGCGGAGATGACCAACACCAAACTGGGAACCGATCAGGGGCACCTGAACAGACAGAACAGATACAACACACTACATGCAATACACCAATAATCACCCTCCAATTACTGAACTCGCTTGAATCTGACAGGATGGTGAAGCCCACCATGACCTTTGCCCAAGCTGTCTCCTCTAGCCAGCGACAGCATCCACGGATAGTCAACACTACCATGAAGAAAACACAGCCTGGCGCCCTCATTACTGCTAACCAACTGAAAAAGAAATAAGATAATTTCCGGGTCTTTGTCCGCATGGATAATAGCCACCTAGAGCCTTACAGAATAAAGTCTATATTGAACAAAAGACTTAAACTCTATCCTCAAGAGCTTGGAGAAGTGACCCGGTGCCCCTCCGGATTTACCTTACACCCAAGGGACAAGCCAATTCAGGCTAAGCTCCTGGCCTTCCAAAAAGAAATCACCGACATTCTTAAGACAGAAAAGATTGACACCCACATGGTCTGGCATCATACAAGGTCAATAAATGCCCAAGAAAGGTCATCAGTGCGGAAAGGTTGACAATCAATATTACCGACATTACTGTTACTGATGAAATTAAAGCCCAAACAGGTGACAGACCTTTAAGGTGCATATTCTCAAGGAACACAATTGATTCTGATCCGGAGACCATATGGGTGATCTCTCTGTCCCGTGCAGCAAAGAAATCATTCACGCTTTTTGCTCACTCAATGACCTCAAGGCACATTCAATACTCCCCCAAGGTTCACCAGTGCGCGAGCTGCTTCAGATACCATGATAGAAACTACCGATATGAAAAGCAAGTATGTGCATGTTGCGCCAGCGCAGTACACCAGGGGGATTACAAAAAACCAATCCCAAAGTGTGTCAATTACAAAGGACCTCATACTGCCGACTTCGACAAATGCCCTGCACGCCCCAAGGTCATGAAAGGTATCATCCATAAGCAGACATGGGAGCAAATCCAGGAAATAAGGTTGGCCTGAGAAAGAGCCAGATCTAGGGCCTTTAATGAAACAGGCAGAAACCAAGCTGGGTCAACACCTAGCAACAATAACGAAGACACCACAATACAAATCGATACAACAGATACAGCTCATCCCCAAGATGCCGACACCATTATTGTCAGTCAATGCTAGGTACATCAAATGAAACATATCGACACAGGCATCTAGTCATCCACTCTGTGAATGCAGCAAGAGGACAAAAGAGTGCAGGCCCTATAGAATTAGCCATTAACCTGGCTGACTATAAAGGAGAATAAGCAGACATCATTCTGATGCAAGAGCCATGGGTCGGCATTCCACCAGGCAGAAGAATGGGAGTAAAGACACACCCCAATTACGATTTATACTCCCCAGTGGATTCCTAGGACAGCGACAGTACACGGCCCAGATCTCTCATCTATGTGAGAAAACATCTTCAAGAGGATCAACTTTGGCCTTATGCTACACGAGACATCACTTGGGTCAAGGTACGAGGTATTATATTTGCCAGCGTCTACTGACCATGCCATAACCCACAGGAAGTGGATGATATTCTGGAAGTATGGACTCCACCCTTTGGCTGTGTCATAGCTGGAGATTTCAATGCTGGCAACACATCCTGGGACTCGAACAATCCAGGATATCACGGTGGTGTCATACTTGCACAGACTATGGCAGACCACAGACTGGATCTGATTTCTGAACCAGATGTCCCAACACATGACGATGGAAATGTACTGGATCTGGTGTTCTCAGATGTCCCCATGGCTGAAGCCTCAGTCAATGATGCACTTCAGTGCACCTCAGATCACAAGACATTACGAATAGTCATTCCAATTCAGAGAGATCGGGACCGAGTTCCCAAGACCAATCATTGGATAGTACCGGACGACAAACTACAAGAGCTGGCAGACAATGTCCAAACCAGGATTCATGAACTCCCCCAGCTA